CAGAGACTGGTGAAATGTCAGGAAGAACAACCTTCAGAACATGGCCAAAGAGCCCAAAAAACCCACAGCAACCACAGGCTTAGTGTTCCTCTTGCAAGTACAAAGTTACTGGATGTAATGATTTCTAGACTGAGGGGACACAACTGCTAGCAGACTCTGGGATTCAGAGAATCAGTGGCATTTGCTTGCATTCTCACAGAGCTTTCTTGGAGTTCTTAGAGCAGATGAAATTTTGTCCACACTGGGATTCCTTCTTCATGGCAGCATTACTGGGTTTTTTAAATGTCCCAAGGAGGTGGATCTGGTCCTTGCCAGACCTAGTCAGTGTATCTATTCTAGTGACCTGCATGGTATTTAGGGAAGGGGGCACAAGAAGAATTAGGGAGTTGAAGCAAAAGTGTCCACTCGATTGAACCCCTGTGGGACAAAGGTTCCAGTGAGGGAAGTCAGTGAAGAAGGGGGACTTGTGAGAAGTACCAGTATCCATCCATAGCAGTGGCTTTGCAGTTTCAGTATCTGGTATGAGACAAGAGAAGAAGGGGAGGAGCACAGTATTTCTGGGATGTGGTTTACTTGTGGATGCGGAATGGGACTCGTACCACAGTTGCAGCAGCACATCCTTTCACTGGGCACATTTTCTGGATTGCTGGACAACACTTTCTCTATACCACAGTCCTCTACCTAGGGTTGGGAGTGCCTCAGAGAAGACCACTCCTGTTTCAGAGTATACACGTGGAACCACAAGGCTAGAAGTAGTCATGAGCAATGGCTTGGGGTGCTGGCCTTGCCACCAGGACAGTGCCTTCGGCTCTCTGTCCTTCTGACCTGTATTAAGTTTTGTGGGATTTGTTCCTAACCAAGATTGGCCCATCATATGTTCTTATGGGGCAATCTGGGAAACTCCCAAGACTCAGGAGGGCCTGAGCCCCAAAGGAAATGCCCAGCACTATGGTGTAAACACACTTTCAACAGCTCTCCCGCTAGTGGAGACAGTTCCGATGCTTCAGTTGTTGTTAAATGTACAAATGTGCAAGATACAGGTCAGGTCTATGAAGACAAGGCTTTTCCTCTTGGTTTCCCCCCCTACATTTAGGAGTTTCAGAGGCCAGAATTCAGGGGCCTGATCTGCCTTGAGGATCACCCCAAGGCAACAAATTGTGCAGCATGCCTGGCTTCAGTTTACTTCAGTCCTAAAGACTGCAGACCCACATGCGAGACCAGCACAAAAGCAGAAGCATTGCCTAAGGGGACTCTACCATTCTTTCTTTCTTTCTTTCTTTCTTTCTTTCTTTCTTTCTTTCTTTCTTTCTTTCTTTCTTTCTATCTATCTATCTATCTATCTATCTATCTATCTATCTATCTATCTATAAAAAAAAAATCATAATAAAAAAGAAGAAAGGGGAGAGAATTAGGAATTAACTGAGGGAGGGGAAGGCCTGCCTAAACATCCATGTTTTCAGCTGATTCTTAAAAGTGCCCAGCGAGGGAGCCGCGCGAATCTCCGTAGGTAAGTTGTTCCGATCATGAACCAGGTTTGAAAGGCTTAAGACCTACATGCCCATTTTTGACACCTAAGGGAAGAAGGAGAGTTTGGACTCAATTATGAAACTCTGGCAGAGGCACAATGTCATGGTGAACCACTGTGTATTTGTCAGAAACAAAGAGAACTTTGTATTTTGCCGTCAGCCCTAGCTCAAATTCTATGTCGTCATCCTAGGAATCAGGTATAAACTTGTATTTTTTTGTTCAAAACTGCAGACAAGAAAACACCCAAAGAAAAAAAAGTGATTTTGGGGGAAAACTTGGTAAAGGTTACAGGTAAATTCACAGAACTGATTAGATGGTTTTCAAAACCTCGACCCTAACGCCCCTTCTTAGCTAATCAGGTAGGATTTAATTTAAACAGGATGTCTTTAATTATTTTAAAAAGTTAGAATACAAATAAAATTATTGGATTAGGCTTCTCCAAGGGAGAGATTTTAAAGCTAAAATCAGATTAAAGTATTTTATTTCTTAAGTAAGTCAGAGTTTCTGCCCAGAGCCTATAAGAGAACATATCTATGTCACCAGAATGTATTGTTTTTAATACTCTAGAGTGGTCCTCACATGACCAGATAGGCGGGATATAAATAAAATAAATTAAATAAATAATAGCATGTTGTTTGTTAAAGAAAACAGATCAGATGAGAATGTAAAGCCATTTTATTGTAGAAAGGATATAGTTCATAATCCTACTGACTCCATTGTTGCAGCACACTAGTGACAAATGTAACTTGATGGGAACGCTATACACCAGATTTATAAATATGGAGACACAACATGTGGCACTTAATTTCTCCCATTAAATGTACCATTTCAAGTTGTGAGCAATGCTCATGGACCCAATAATATTCTTTGCAGAAACGTAGGTGCAATGTCATGTGAAGAGACCACCAGTAACACAGTAGGTCCTTTCCTTCTTTTTTCCCCCCCAGTGACAGCATTTTTGTGCAGCCCAAAGAAGAGCTCTGGGGAGCTTCTCAGAATTTGGGGGATACGCAGGTGGCTGTAGCAGGGAGCTGGCTAGTCCCCTCCAGTTCTACTTAAAGGGGAAATTCCATTTGTGTCAGCACTCCACTAGATCCTGGGAAAGAGATTTCTCTGTCTCACTAAACACATCATTATATTGTTGTCATCATCATCACCAGTCTACCTCTACTCCCTGCATCTTCCTTCTCTTGTGAAACACTGTAAAGCAAAGTAAAGTGTGCTGCTTATAGTTTTACTGACTAAAAACAAGATGGCCCCTTGGTTCCATTGCCTATCTTCTTACAACGGGAAGAGCAGAAGGGTTTTCATCATCATTAGCCCTGCTTCCTTCTCCACTTGTCAGATCTTCCTGCTGATCACTGACTGAACTTGATTGTTCTTCCCTACTCCCAGTCTGTTCTTCAGCAGCAGAATCCTGATGTTTCTCAGTCACAACAAGCTCTCCGTCTCTTTTTGCTGTGGGAGCTCTGAAGGTGACATCGTAAAAAACCAGGTAGCCATCGTTGAACATGTAGAGTTTCTGGTCATTGGGGTTATAATTCAAACTCTGCACAGTAGGAAGAGGTTTTTCTATAAGAATCTGGATGTTGCGTTCCCGAGAATTACTGGTGTCGTACATGTAATGGATCTCATCATGGGTTGAATTTTTTCTCTTGGTGCCATACAAGACGCCACAGATCATAAAGCTATTGCTGAGACTATCCTTAGTCTGTGAAGTAATCCAAGGTGTTCCCACTTCCAAGGTTTCAGGGTCTATTTTCTTAATGACTAGTTTTCCATTGCTCATTGTAGTTGCATAAATCATCCATAGACCTTTTTCATCCCCAGCCAGATCTATGTCTTGATATTTGACACCCTGATAGGAGAACCAGTTATTGAAAGAGGCAGGATCTGGGTCTTCCAAATCTTCACGTGAAATCCGCATACTAAATGGGTCTGCCTTGCATAGGGCTCTACTATCCAAACAGTTGTAAAAAAAGGTGCCATTGAAGAAAACCACTCCTGCCCCTTGTCCACAGCCATCACACACTGTTTGTGAATTAATATTAAGGGTGTACTCCCGTATGGGAGTATAAAGGAGCAATTTCTTAAATGAGGCATATAGGCGGTACTTCTCCAAAGTACGCTCATCTTGGTTCATTGGGAAAACCCAATAATAGTCCTTAAATTTAGTCCCCAGAGCAAAATCTTTTCCCCAGGATCCTGCTTTGAACTTCATACCCTTCCAGTTGAGCTTCACAAGCTGTGGATTACCAACCTTCAGCAGCCCATCATGGTCACATTTACCTGCAGAAGAACAAGGAGTGAGTTCATTAATTTTATTACATCTGAACAACTAGATTCCACTTCTCAGAAAGGGTTTGAAAAGGAAGAATTACAGTTCTCATTCTGTCATGGCTGTTTGAAAAGTTCCCAAGCCTTTTAGGGTATAAGGAATCTTCCCAGGGCCCACCATGCTAATCCTGAAAGCCTTTTGAGAGAGTTGCAGAGTTATTCTGCTTTGTTCAGGAGAAGATGACTGAAAAAGGTCTTAAGGTTCTCCAAAAGTCTTCCTTTGCAGGCAGGGCCTCTATTTTTCTTGTGTCTCATAAAATATCCAGGAGAAACTGCCTCCTCTGGACCCACAGCAGTGAAGAATACTACACTGAGTTGTGTTGGGAGGGAGTGCTTTGCTCTGTGCATTGGGACACTTTGGGGTGATGTTCCTCCTGTACGAACCATGAGAATCAACCCAAGATATGCTTTGCTGACAAACAAACAAACCCTTCTGCATTCACCCTGGCTGGTGGGGGAAAGCACCTCAGATCCCTTTGGAGAATCTTTGGGTTCTGAGAATTAAAACACCCATGGCTGCTACCACCAAGGAGCTCTCTCATCATGTCCCAGACAACTGGAGTCAGAGACGATAAGGGGAGTCCTGGATGGCTGTGCAGGCCAGATCAGCTCCAGGACCTGCTAAGGCACACAGAAATGAAATCTTCCCTTTTCTGTGGAGGAATAGTGAGATCACTATAATCAGGAAAGCAGGCCCACTTGAGTTCTGGTTAGCCCATCTAGACAGAAACTGGCTCCACCCAACCCAAGGAAGGCCTCCTCCAGGCCTGAGCCTGCCCACTGGCTTAGTTCCTCCCCTCTTCTGTTTTTCTTAGAGGTGTGTAGCAAGTGTGGGAATGAGGAGGCTGGGTCCTTGTGGGAGATGGGAATTTTCCAGGGCTGACTCCTGGAGGTTCTGGGTAGGGAAAGACTGAATCACAAAGAAGGACAATACTGAAGACTCCTAGCCTGCAATTTGCAAGATTCTGGCAATGGTTTATCCTACTGTGATTTCCTTATTTGTGTTCTTTTCAGGACATTGTTTGGAAGACATTTCCAATGTATTGAGATATTAGCACAGTGTGGATTAACAGATGGAATTTTATTCTTTTGTTAGGTTGTTGTAAACTCTTTTCTTTAAAGCTGTTCCAGAAAGATTATAATATTTCTGTTTATCAGCTCCAGATTGCAGGCTCTAGAGTGTTTAAAACACCTACAAATTTAGCAACATTAATAATATACATATAAGTATTATGAACATTGAAGAGAATGGAGGAAATCCTTTAAAAAGAAAGGCCTTCACTTGCTTCCTTAATAGTTCTAACATTAGTCTTGAGTACGCCTCTTTTGGAAAGCTTATTTATGGAGGTCTCCTTCTAACTCATGGAGGATATTGTCTTTTTAAAATGAAATCAGAGCAAGTCCTCCTCAGCCGATCTTAGGAAGTGGGGGGGGGCTCATATGGGGAAGAAAATGGCCCATATTTAAAACTGGACACCAAAGGCTTTAGTTGGGCCTATATAACAATCACCGGAAGGACAGATCCTGAAGCTGAGGCTCCAGTACTTTGGCCATCTCATGAGAAGAGAAGACTCCCTGAAAAGGACCTTGATGTTGGGAAAGTGTGAAGGCAAGAGGAGAAGGGGACGACAGAGGACGAAATGGTTGGACAGTGTCACCGAAGCTACCAACATGAATTTGACACAACTCCGGGAGGCAGTGGGAGATAGGAGGGCCTGGCATGCTCTGGTCCATGGGGTCATGAAGAGTCAGACATGACTGAACAACAACATATAACAATCAGCAACCAGGGCACTCCATCAGTCTGGCCTCTTTAAGGAAGCCATGCTTAACTGCATTCCACCCTGGCTTCCGGACCCTCCTCAAGGTCAACCCCATACAGAACAGTTGAAAATAATATGCAGCTGTACCTAGCATAGAAGAATAATATACCTATAGGTAGAGGTAGGTGCTCTAACAGCATAGTTATGGCAAGGGCAAGCTGTTCTTTGTATTTTCTGCCTTCCTCTGACATAGTTCCCTGATATTCTGAGGAATTAACTACCCTCCTTTTTGTGCACATCTCCTTTTCCAGCTATTTCCTTGGCATGTGGCAAGCAAGCATAAGGATCAAAATAACATTTCTATCCATGATAGAGTCCCTATAGTAAAGCCCAATTACTTTTGTTTAACCTTAAGCTAGCTTCTTTCAGATCCACACCCAGAACCTTGCACATTTTCCTTTTAAAATGCTGTAATTTGACCAACTATGGATATGTCAAATATGATTTCTTTAAATAAGTCACTAGATGTTAGAAGAGACCAAGCTTGCTTCAGGCTGATTCCTGGGCTGTCTAGTGTTACCTGTGCAGATACCTCCAAATGCTGATACTTTGAATGGTAATACTCACCAATGGATGATGGACCTGACACAGCAGGAGTACCCGAGGAAAGAGCAATTGCTTCCTCACATTCCTGTAGCTTTTGCCGGAGAGCCATGATCTCACGTTGTGCTGTAATTATGTTGTTCTTGTCAGATTTTTCCATTGTTGTTACTACAGTGTGCATCGTATTGATCTGAAACATGAGATGGTGTGAGCGTGGTTGTCAATCCTCTGACAGAAAGGGTTGATTCCACCAATCCTCTTTGCCCACCTGGAGCATGGAAACCACTAAGGGTAGAGATGCTTCCCCCTTCCCCTGCAGCCCTCCCATCTGACCATCTAATTGGCTTGGAGGGATCTGTGGGCAGGTGTGTTAGGGAGGACCGGAAGAAGAAATCTTATTTCCTAATGTCACCTGTCTGACATGCAATGGAACCCCTTAAAAGAGTGAAGAAAACACAAAGAGCCAAAAAAGTGTGGGGAAGGGAGGATCTCATAAGATGCGGCAGTAATTTCCCACCACCCTCAGACTAGCAAAAAACTTCTGGCTTTTAAATACTTCTTTTAAATAAACACAAACACCAGTTTGCTTGTCCGAAGACCTCTAAGGGTTCCAGGGCAACATTATTTCCACACCTGCTCTACAGAAGGTATAGTGTTACAGAGAATTGCTGGAAGGAAGGGGGCTTATGTTTAACGCTGGTACTAAGCTCTACTACCTGATTCAGTCCTGTTTTGTCAAGTGCCAAAAGGGATAGGAAGTGGCCTTAGAAGAGGTCAAACTCTTTGTCCATCTAGTTCTGTGTGATTTCTAGGCTATAAGGCCAGTGTGCCTCTGGCTCTTCCATCACCTGAGGAAACAGCCCCCCTTCCCATGGCTGGCATCCACTCTCTGTCTCACTCTGAGACTGAGGTGCAGGGCAGCCAGACTATGTCTTTTTTTTAAAGGATGGACAAGATTTATTTAGAGCAGCACTTGTTAAACATTAGGTGCAGAAGCATTTCTAGTTTTTTTTTTTTTGTAGGCAATCTTCAGGTTTTCAGTTTAGTGGATCAAGTGTGCAGATTGCAGAATTCAGTAAGCTTATGATCAAGTTTTTTCCCCTTTTTATTTTGATCATTATATGTTACAATCCTCAGGTCACATAACAAAAAAGAAATAAGAAACAAAATAATTACCTATAAATACAGTTACCCTCCCAATAAGGCAGCCAGACTATGTTGAGAACAGCACTGTGTGTGAGGGCACCCCATCAAGAGGGACAAGATAGTAGGCCTTGCTCCAGCAGCTCCTCCAAGCAAGGCATTTGGAGTCTGGCTAGCTTTTGAGCACTGTACACCAACTCAGCAGGAAATGGCTATTCAGGACCCAGCCATGCCCCTCCCAGGGGACCCGAGGTGGCCACTTCCCAACTGTGGCATTTGCCACATCTGGAGAACAGCTAGCCCTGCTCTTGGGACAGTGGTGGGGATCTTTCAGACAGGAAGTTGGAGATTTTCTACCTTTAGCATTTTACTGGAACCTGATTCTGCTGACGAGGAAGGCCAGCTTTGTCTTGGACACAGATACTTCCCTCTACTAGCTCCAATATTTATTTTTAAATGGAGCTCCCAGGATTTGAACTTGGGACCTTCTATGTGCAAAGTACGTCCTTAGCATGGAACTGAGACTTCTCCTGTGCCACACATTTTGATCTGACTGTAAACAGTGGTATTGAGAGGAGTGTACAAATAGTTTTGTACTATTTGGAGTACATGTGTTAGAACAACGTCCACCTGTTTTGCAAATGAGTTATTTTTAACTATTTATAATATTTTTACCCCACCTTTCTCCTTAAAAAGGACCCAAGGCATCTTACATCTTTAAAAAACTGCATTTAAAGCTAGACCAAAATTGATTGCCAGTCATCTGCTCCAAAATTTGGATTGTCTCCACCTGGAGTGGATTGTTACTAAGCTTAAAAAAATAGGCAAATAAAAAGTATACTAAAGCCATACTCGTGTACTTATTGCCTATTAGCATCAGTAGAGCCACTCAAACATCATTACTAGAAAGAATTAGCCATTACCTTTGTGATCAAATCACTGATCATTTCCTTAGTGGCATCTGTCGTTGCATTCTTGCTTATATTGTGTGCCAAAGACACCACGGTGTGAATATCACTGATTAGCCTCTGAAAGTTCAGGTCAACATGGGTGCCAAATGCCTTCACGTATTTCACGCGTACATTCAAATCCGTCAGGTTTGTTTTAGTGGTAGACAAACGTGCCTGGTTGTTGTAAATCTAAAAACCAAGGAGACAAATGTGTAGATCAGTTATGCTTAAGAGTTTCTCCACCTGTTTCTGCCACGTTGATGCATAACAATGAATTGGCTAGGATAGCTGTGACCGTATCTTGTAGCCATGTCAAAAGTTAGTTTTTGCACTGTGGGCGATATTGAGAGAATCTTCATGAAGGTCATATTTGAGGGAAAGGAATTACAAAGATTTTAAATAAACAAATAATGTAATGTCAAGATATGTTTTTGCATCCCTTGGAAAACAGATAAGGAAACTTGATCTAGAAGGAAAATGCTAAGAAAATCATGGAGTTAAAGGCACTTGGGGCAAGCTTGTTTACAAATTAAGTCCTTTGGTGCAAAGATATTAATTACAATGAGCATAGGATGGATTCTTGGCAATCAGCAAATCTGGAAAGAAAAACATTTTTTTTTGCCCAGTGTTCACCCATAGTAATAAAATGTGGATTGCAAGACCAAATGAAGATCTGATTGGATACCCTCACTGAAAAGGGAATTGACAATTCTGGAAAAATTAGTAGCTTTACTAAAAAGGAGAATCAGACCTTAATGCAGTATTTGAAAGATAAGCTAGTGGGGATTTTTGGGAGGCATCATGAGCATGTCACTTTGGAACACAGAAACAAAAAATATAGATTGGACAGATGTCAACATCTCATGTATTCAGAAGTTTCATACCACTTCTATGAGTTGAATGTGCTTCACTTTTTGGTGTATGTCAAAATAATGGCTTAAAATGTTAGTATAGTGCTATTCCTGGATATGAGTCCTAGTCTGTTCGGCTCAAATGGTGAATGATGTGTTGCTTGTTACACACCTATAGGAGCTAAACATATGAAGTACATTCCTAATTCGTGCTAGCTACAATTGTTATTTTAAAGTTTTTCCACTCGCCTGGTGAAATCATAAGGTATCATGAATATATGATACAGACACCCATTTGTATGTTATATATTTTTAAGAAATGAGTACAAGCATTGGCTCATTGATGCAGAGGAAAACATAAAAATATTAGTTACATTAATACAATGTATTAATATGTTGGTGTATGAGCTCCTTCCTTTGTTAAAATGGGGACAACGTCAGTGTAAGGGAAACAAACAGCCCTCCCCATTATGAAATTAGCAAAATCAGTGGGAGCTGGTGCACTCTGATCATGGCTAGGCATGAAGTGCCCACCATCACTGAGGGGCAAACAATATTGGAAAGGAACCTTTGTGCATTTTTGTAGGGCTTCAGGAGGCCGTGGTGTAGTTGTGAATTGGAAAGTGCAAATGCTCATCATGATAGTCCCTCTAGCTATTTGTGGTTAGGTCCACATGATTACAGTTGAAAGCATGTTGAGGTTCGAGGTGACTGAGGCACTCTTTAGCATTTGTGAAGCCAGACGTCAAAAGAATCCAGTGTTTAGGCCCTGAAGACCAGTCACCAAACCAAGGAAGGTAATTTGCATACTCCCAGAGGGGAGAGAGACTTCTGCTGCAACACTAATTGGCTTTAATTTGTGAAAGTAATTGCTTCTAATCCTGAGCTGTCTTTAATTGCTGTTTGTGCCTTAAGTTTAGCTGTAATTCTCACTACATCTGGGGTGGGGACTAGATGCTTTTAGCAACAATATATTCTTGTGCAAACACCCATGTATGAAATACAAACACACAGAGACACATACACAGAGTTAACACAACTGCATGGATTTTGGAACTTTCCTTGGGTGGGTGGCCAGGATGTGTGCCTGTATGTCAAGATTTACCAGTACCCTTCTGTCTGACCTGGGCATAAAGGCATCCTTACCATGTTCAGCTGGTCCTGCAGATAATTAGTCAGGTTGTAGTAGTCGCTCTGCAGTCGCTCCACACTGCGTGCAGGGAAGTAGGTGTGAGCTATTTCCATGCTGCAAATACACTGTCCGCTTCCGTCCCTCACACCTATTACTCTCTCAACATGGCCACCATCAACTATGAGCTGGTAAGGTAGCTAGAAAATAGGGAGAAAGCATAATTGAAGGAAGCCCTTTTGCTTTTCCTGCAGGCCTGGCATAGAAATGCTGTACAACTTCTTTCTACTGGCCTGGATCTGGAAAGGTGCTGCCAGCCTTGGAACAGTGCTGGCCATTTGATATGACTTGTATTGTGAGGGGGAACCACCTTTTTTCCTCATTGTAATTCATATCTTTCTAATGACCAGGTCTGGAGTTCGCTTTCATAAATTCCTGGAGCACTTTACATTCTGAGAAACTTGCTCCTCAGGATACTTCTCAGCCTTGGAGGGGGAGAAGCCAGGCTCACAGGTGCCTTGAACTCTATAGTTCTATTTGCCTGTTTTTACTATCAAAGTGAGACAGGTGGTGGCAGTGGAAGTGGAGATCGAAGTGTCAACAAACTAGGGACAGAATGTGAACTGAAAAAGAAAGCAGGCTCTGAGAGAGAATATGAGGCCACCACAATCAATCCACTACCATCTCCAAGCTAGTACAAAGTGCCACAAGCAGGAACGAGGAAGAGATGTCCATGCGGAGCCAACAGCTAGAGGGTGGAATTTCACCTACGGAATACATACAGTTCAAGACAGAATACATATCACATGCTTATAAGTACTGTAGCATTTGCAAAATGGTATTCATATCTGCCACAGCCTGTCTTGAAAGATAGGCTTAAAAAGCCAATGCCCATTTACAACTGGAATACATAAATTCTGAGGAAGAGGTTCATAACTAAGAGCCCAGGATGACAGTAACACAATTCTGTCTTTGAAAGTGTATTTGAGCCCTGGAACAACCAGCAGAAATAAAAATGAAAAGAGCATGGAGAAACACATTTTAGCTGGTTGGGGTGACAGTACACCATGTTTCCATGTGTTACAAAGCATAATGTTTGGATTCATGCTTCTTCTTACATAACCTATGCCCTTTATGCTTTGGAAAGCATGATGGAAGGGCTGCTTACCCTAAAGGACATAACAACCTAAAACCAGACACAACATAGGCAATGTAAGAAGTGAGGAGTGAAAATGAAGATGTGGCTGTAGAAGGGAAGAGAATTTTATTATTTCAGTTTCATACCCATAGATTTAGTAGTCATAAAAGAGGTTTGGGAAGACTTCAGACCATGTTGGAGCCATTTTTAAAAATTATTTTATTTTTAAACTAGAACCCTAAGATTTATATTAAAAATTAAGTAATTTGTTGTGAGTAGCAGAACTGAATAGAGATCACAGTCCTTCCACACAAAAATCTCCTTACTCCAAGGTTTCTTAATTTTTTAAAAGTTTGAGCCGAATCCTATTACTTGTATACACCTGGATGGTTAAGTTGCAGCAGCAAATTGCCCCTGATTAAGAAGTTGATGTTTGTATTTCATGTTGTATAGCAGTCTGATGACTTGCACAACAAGGAATGCAAGTGTTAACTCCTTAACTAGGGGCAATTTCCTGCCACAGGTTACACCATTTGACTTTACAGCTGCATATGTAAATAATGATTTATGGCCTACAATGTTTTGTGATTGCTTTTGTTAAACAACTGAGACCCAGAAACCACTGTTGATGATCTACTAGAAACCAACTGGGACTAGTAGTAGACACACATGTACTTTCTGACTACCCTTTCATAATGTACTAGAAGCAGGAGGTTGTCTCTTCATCAGAAATATTAGTTTTGAGGGAGGATCTGAAAGAAGAGCTATTGTCTCCTGGAGACAATTTGGAAGGTATAACTACAACCCCAGGTGCCCTTATTAGGGTGTAAATCCCACTGGAATAAATTTTTGGATGATCAGATTACAAGTATTAAAGGTCAACCTAATCAATTATTTTGTTCTCTGAAGACTCTTCTAAATGGAGCCAAAGTTCCATTCCCATTTCTCTTGCTTGGTCATGAAGGAATGCAAGAGTTTGTGTCCAAACTTCCCTTTTCAAGTCACTTCTCTTCTCTTTGAGAAATCGTCTTCTATTTAGGAAATCTTTAAGAAATATTTTAAAAATATTTAAGGATGCCACTTCTCTGCTGGAGCTTCTCTTCTGGAGCTTCTTTTTAAAATTAAAACTGAAAGCCTCTGACTGGTAGGCTTTAATCAGAAATCAGCTTTAAATGGGGAGTGCTATAGCGCTACACTGTGTCCTAGAGAATAAATTAATGCTAAGAATTAATCTTAATTTCAGTAGAAATGAAAAGGTATGAAAAATCACTAAAAGGATCATTGTGGCAAGTAAGATGAGGTGAATGTTGTTTGGATAGTGGGGAAAATACCACTAACATCAGTGCATAATACAGTACATTATGGAGAATAAATGCTTTGTCTGAAAGAGCCCAATGTCATGTTTAGGGTTTCAAAGCTAGAGGCTCCCTCCGTTATTCTTCTTTTTTATTTAATATCTGAGAAAAGTTAAATGATGTGCTTGGCCTTACTAAATCTTTATTTTGTTAGTCCTCAGATGAGTGGGCACAGATAGATAGGCCCATCTTCTTGTTCAGTTTAACTTGATTTAGACAAATGGCATTCGATGTTTCATCAGTAGCTTTTTCCCTGTTGGAGCCAAGCGTACAGCTCTTATTTTCCTTATTTTCAATTATTCCTTTGTCTCCCAGTGACCATTGAGTTTTGAGCCATGCCTGGGCAGATTTTTTTAAACAAGATTATATGCCGTCAGAGCCCTGAGGTTTGATCAGTCAACCCATTATTGAACTTGCCCTCTACAATCTCTGTGGAACCCACCCAAGTTTGGCCAGAAACTGACACCCTCTCTTGAAGTTTGGTACTCACAAAAGAAGCCACAGAGAGCAGCTGCAGCAGAATCACCTTCATCCTTGCTGGTGAGGCATATGGTACTTGCACTGTAGTCTTTATATGCTTTATAATGGAAAGGGTGGTGGGCAGAAAAACAAGGCGATCTGGACTGGCATTTCCTCAGGGCTCAACTGGACACGATGTTATTACCTTTCATCTTGTTCCTCTAAGTGTATTTCATCTTGTTCACATGTGCATGTACCCTCCTCCACGAATAATTAAGTTTGATCACAGAAAAATCAATGGAAGAATGAAGGTGTCTGCCATGTGGGCTGTAGATGGTCACTCCATATCTCTCCTAACATCTAAAAAAATGAGAAAAAAGAAAGATAAAATGCCAACTATTGCTCTATTTTTAAACAGGGGTAACTAATATGAATCAGCAAAGAAGCATCCACCCTCCACCCACCCCAATTTCTGTCCTAATACAAGAGTTTAAGCATTAAGCGTTCAATCAGAAAGGACTGGATATAAAGGAGATACCAATTCTCCATTGCACACTGCATCTGAGGTCCAGAAAAAACACATATGCCATACATAACAAATCCATGTACAACTGAAAATAGCAGCTTCAGGATAACTGGAAACAACCACTAAATGAAAATAAAATGGCCCTCATTTCTGAAGGCACAGCAAGAATAAACATGGCCTGTGTATCAGATTTCAGCTGAACCAATTTATACTGAGGACAAAGGAAAGGTTAATATATGCAGGACATTGAGCCAGGAGTTGAAGGTATCATGGAGAATGCTTGCCCTGAACTGGCAGCAGCATAACAAACGAACTGCATTGGCAGCATAACTCTCAATCAGAGGAGGATGGGAAGAAAGCTCCTTAGAAAATCTTGACCTGGATGAAGAAGACATCTAAACAAAGGAGAAGTGGAACGAAGAATAGCCCTGCAGCACCTGAGAGACAAGAAGATGCTGCTGCTGCAGAAACTGGATCTGAAACAGAAAAGGGGCAAACTTCTCAGAGTACTGAATCCTGGAAGTGACAGAACTAGCCCTTTGCAGTAGGAGAAGGGAGTGGGGAGATGGATTACGAGGAAAAGAGAAATTGTTCCTGAGAGGATGGAGGATCTTTTATTTTCTTCTCCAGTGCAGGATTCTTAAAGCTATTTGCTGCTTGGATGCAGACCCCATCATTTGACACACCATGAAAGAAATATTGGGCTAGTTAATTCAAAGAGTTCACTTGCAGTTTTAAGACTAATCAGAATGAATTTCTTGATGGGAGCTTTTTTTCAGTGATGGCCTTCATAATTAGATGTTGCAGGGAAGAGACAACCTGCTCAGAACAATAATGACTGCCACCAAATTGATTCTGACTTATGATGACCCTTTCCAGGGTTTTTAGTTGAACTCTTGATCTCTATCTTCACAGACAGGCAGCCAGTTATCCAGGCTATCCTGTAAAAACTTCCCAGGCATTCTTGAAAATATAACTGGGCTGTGTTCACCAGTTTTTTAATCACTATTAATACAGATTCCTGGAAAAAGAGAACAGCTCAATAAGGAGGGAAGGATCCCTATTATTCATCTACATGGTCCAAAATTATGTTGCAGGTTAACAGCTTTCAGAAAGTTAATAGAAGCCACGGAGGGTCTAGGATTAAGAAAGGGCTAAATCCCCTCCCAACTCTTGGTCCAACAGGAGGAAGTAACATTTTAGAGCTAAATGGGCAATTATTTAGGAAATGGTGACTGGAATCCTATTGGTATTTGTATAAAGTTAATTTAACTTGCAGGGACGTGGTGGTGCTGAGGGTTAAGCCACAGAAGCCCCTGTGCTGCAAGGTCAGAAGACCAGCAGTCATAAGATTGAATCCACATGACGGAGTGAGCTCCCATCACTTGTCCCAGCTCCTGCCAACCTAGCAGTTCGAAAGCATCTAAAAATGCATGTAGTAGATAAATAGCTACCACCTCGGTGGGACTAAAAATGAATGTAGATAAATAGCTACCACCTCGGTGGGAAGGTAATGGCGTTCCGTGTACTTGTTGCACTAGCCACGTAACCATGGAAACTGTCTCGTGTAGTCGTCGCACTAGCCACGTAACCATGGAAACTGTCTACGGACAAACACTGGCTCTACAGCTTGGAAACAGGGATGAGTACCACCCCCTAGAGTCAGACACAACTGACTAAATGTCAAGTGGAACCTTCACTAATTTAACTTGAAGACTAATTGATAAGGTTCATGAGTTAGCCACTATCTGCTGTGGCAAGTTAGACTTTACATGAATACCAATAGGACTTTGGGCACTGCATTTTACTACAGTTTAGTTCTATTGTTATGGTTTGCGGAGTGGTGGGAGAGATAAAGCACTCTTAACTCCGGAACAGGGATAGGCAAACTGATGTTCTCTGTTGTTGTTGTCATCATTGTCGTTGTTGTTGTTGTTTTGGACTGCCACATCCCATAACTCTTACCCATTAGCCAGGCTAGCTGGGGCTTAAAGGAGTTGTGGTCCAAAACATCTGGAAGACAGCAGGTTGCTAGTTCTTGACCTATATGATGCCATTGCATGAATGATGGAGAGAATATCCAACACACCAACAGCTAAGAAAGGCAGTTAAGTGTGGTTCTAAGAATTACAGACTTGTTAAACTGAACTTCTTTGGCATATTGTTCTATGGAGCAGGTATTAAAGACAAGATTATTGAACAAAAATACATACCATTTGTAATTCAATAAGGTATAATGGAGAGAGTGTGGGACTAGGGGTCAGGAGACCTGGATTTGACTCAACAGCCATGAAAACTCACTGGTCAACAGCAATGGTAAGCATACCATTTGTAATTCAATAAGGTGTAATGGAGAGAGTGTGGGACTAGGGGACTAGGACTCAACAGCCCTGAAAACTCACTGGTCAACAGCAATGGTAAACTCTGAATGCCTCACATACCTTGAAAACCCTCATAGAGTTGCCATAATTCAAAACCAATTTGGTAGTGTGTGCACTACCATGTTATTCACACTTCTAAAAAAGTATGTCTAAACTGCCTTGAATATCACCGTAGAAGAAAAAGCAGACTAGAAATGTGTTGAACAACATGGATGTATGAAGGCAGACATTGCCAAGACACAGAGAAAGCCATGTACTTTCTTTCATACGTGCCTCATATTTGTCCAGGCCATAATATTTTGGATGTATGAGGGCAGACATTACCAAGACAGAGAGAAAGCCATGCACTTTCTTTCATATGTGCCTCATATTTGTCCAGGCCATAATATTATTCTCCTTATTTCCTTACTCTACTGCTACATCTGTCTCTGTGATGATCTAGTTCCATAAAAGCACAAACACATTAAAAGGAGAATTAGATTAAAAAATAAAAACAAGCTAAGGGATGAATTATTGAATTGGCCATAAGGCAGGACATGGGCAGACATGGTGCTGCCGAAGTATTTATTGTAGAGACATCGTCCATGATAGAACATTTTAACTACACCCATTCATTTGCCCAGTCAGATGATACCAGCAGCAAATGCAAAGGCAAACATTTATCAGTTGCCCATATGCAATCCAATTACACTCTAAAATGAAGTTACTGCCACTTAAAATCTCTGTATGGTATATATGTGTAACTGTGCAGGAAACAAATGTTGTGTAGTCAACATGGCTACACTCAAAGTTACAACCCTTCCATTTGCCTGGATTCTGCACGGGGTTATTACAGGTACACTTGGCAGAAGAATAATAGCTTTTTTGAGGTGTTGAAATGCATGCAGTGTCCCAGTGACTACCACGTTTCCCTGGGTCATTTGTATAGCAGAACCAAGCTCGCAACGTTAAAGCATCAAAGCTTTTTTGTTAGCCAGGACAATACTAATCATCTACTACCTTCCTCAAGCTTCCTTGTTCTCTTTGAATTTACTTGCAATCCTTGTAGCAGCTAACAAGGAACGGCATTTCATTTGGAGCAATATATTATTGCAAGGAATTGTGGTAATGCAGATAGTTTGGAATGCCTTGGTCTTGAATGAGCAACTGTGATCAGTAGATCTACTCAGAATCTAATCCCGATGGAGAAGCAAGCGATCATTATTTTATTGGCATGGATCCATCTATTTTGGATTCTCCTCATGGATAAGGCTATTTGTAGATGGGCGTGGTGAGTCCCTGCACTTCAAAAATAGCATTCACCATTGGTCTGATTGTAAACATGAACCCACACATGGCTTCCTAGTCTTATAGTGACTCATAGGTAAGCATGCATCTGCAATGATGTTTGATGCAGGGAAAATCTTGCAGTGGGCTGTCAAAAGCAATTTGAAATCTCAGGGTTTTTTTTTGACATTTTCATGGGGACTAATCATTACAAGGAGGCTACCTGGCCGAGGCTGCTTTAGAAAGCACTGTCAGTGAGAGTCTGCAGTGTTCATATGGAGGCGGATGTATCTACCTGGATTTATAAGTCTGTGGGCACTTCAGACATGGAAAAAGGAGTAGGTTACTGTAGCGTTCACCTTAAGCTATGCAATAAATTATGTATTATTCATGAGTTATATGCTAATGTGATTAAGAGGTGGGGCTGAAAGAGATGTTAAAAGGTAGGGCCTGAGAGAGGAGGAGTTCAGTTGTTAGGAATCAGAGGAGAATTTGGGGTTTGAGGAGTGATTAGTCTGAGTGTAATAACTATAGGTTAATATTGAAGCTTGATGAAACTTGAAGATTGTGCTGATGAATAGTTCCAGAAAACAACTGTAATCAATAAACTTCTTCTGTTAAAAAGTCAGTACTGAATGGACCTCCATCATTTCTAAGTAAAGTAAGTTGATAAAGGAGATCAACTGGTGGCAGCGTGTGAAGAGGTGTTTTGGTTTGCCTTTGTGAGCTCTGTGTTTAGTGAGACAAACAGGGGTCATGAGGGCGAACGCCACTGTAGCGTTCTCTATTTATTAGGTCTATGGTTCATGTTATATTATGTAATGGTTTATGTTTGTTATGTAATAATGGTTCATGCATATTAATGTTGCTGAGAGGAGGAGCCGAGAGAGATGCTATAAGAGGCAGCGCCTGAGTCATTCTGTGGTCAGTAAGAGAAATGTAAGAGTCAGAGAGAGTAATAGAGAGTGTAGTTTGGGAAATTCTGAGTTGCAATTAGTTACTGAAGATATTCATGAATCAATCTCTGTAATCAATAAATCAAAGTTTTATTTAAAAGGACTTGAAGAGTGGACCTGAATCTTTCTGAGGTAATGGTGATTTCGGGATCACCTGGTGGCAGCAGTGTTAAAGAGGAGAGTGTTTGCCTTCGTGTGCTCTGAGGGTTGAAGGTCAAGCAAAAGGGGCACGAGGGTGGACGCCACAATTTGGTGCACAGCGATGGGATTCAAAGAAATCCAGTGAAGCCTGAATTGAACTCAAAGACTTCCAGTCAAGCCTGAGTTTATATTAACAATAGCCAAAATTGAAATAACACTTTCTCCACTATTGCTTTTATGGTGTATCTGGGATCTGATCCCAAACTGGTATCTATAATTGAATCTGATTGTGATAACTAGACTGAGGGTATTAAATATGGTAAAAGTTATTAACAACTACATAAATGGATGATGAATGCCACCCTGCTATGAATCCTGAAATAAAATGGAAAGCTGTAAAAATAAACTCAGTAATTAGCATTACGTAAAGCTAAATTGTGAATGATTTCAGGTGAAACCACACCTAATATTCTTAACAGATACTGAAAAGTGTTAATAATGGTGGCGATTAAGGAGTCTGTGGCCTTTGGAGTTTTAACAAGGTTGTACTTCAACATTAATCCCCTTCCCGCCACTCACTCTTTGTCTCCGGCAAGGATATGATTTTTTCAAAAATGAAAATTAGAAACCTGCATTTGTTACAGTCATTTCCCCACCTGGACATGAGACTATGTTTTTTTAAATAAGACAGAGACTTGTTTTAGATTGCTTTTAATACTTATGGTTTAGATTACATGTTCACAAATTAGATCTCATTATAATCCTTGGAAATAGGTCAGTCTCTCCACAATGCTTCCTCTGGCTAAGCTGCCTAGAGCTCTGTGAATATGTGAGAGTGTTTGTTTGTGTGTATGTGTGTGTGTGACCACATGCACACGCGCACGTTCTAAAGCAGATCAGAAACTACATTCTTCAGCCAATAGTGTAAACCAAAAAATGGATATAGTAATTGCATGCTCCCAGAATTAAAAACAAAATCAGGAAGGAGGACCATAACAATGTGACAAAAAGAAAATTCCAAACTGGGGGCATATTTCCCCATATACAGTAACATAAAACTGCTGCAAATTGGCTCTCACGTACCTAGGAAGTACCTAGGAAAGCAAGGCTGCGGGTTGTTATAAAAGATGAGAGGAACTAAACAGATGAGGATTAAGTTGATACGAAGGCATATCCCACCAAACTGGAGAAAACAGCACTTCTTTAACATAGTGTGTGTGCGCACGCACACATACACCTATGTACAAAGGATGTGGAGAGGATATTGCACAATATGATTCCTCTCACCCAATAAGGGGCCTCAAAAAATTCGACAAAAAAATGACAGTATCCAAAAATGGTCTAAATAGCTATTAAATTCTGCAAGAGATCCTAACATACCATAACTAGATAGCAGTCTCATTTGTGATTAGAAAAAAGACAAGAGCCTCTGTGTCGCCAGTTACAGTCCTCACAGCTCTGGCATGCTCACAATTGTAATTAAACGGACCAATACAAATACTTTATTCTGAATTCCAGCTATTTCAGATATAGGAAAAGCAAGTGCTTTACCAGAGAGGACATTAATGGCTCATTGGAATAGGCATGTTCACTGTTTGCTGTTCATGGCCAATTGCCAGTGACTCTCAACACATTATAATGAATCAGCGGTCAGTCGATTTCTCAGAATGTACTCTAGCCATAGTTTCCTTAAGCGGAACAAAAGACCTTCTGTTATGAAGCACATAACAGAATCTGAATTCTAATGGTTGCCAAGCCAGTACTGACTCAAGTTTGCTTTGTTTAGCACCAGTGTTACGCTGCTGACAGCAAGTTTGGCACGTCCTATCTATTGCCAATGGACAATCTAAATTCCCTGCTCTTTTTAATAGTACACATTTTAAAATAGTGTTTCGCTTAAAACTGTATTTTTTCAAATCTACCCTTAAAAGTTAAAGTGATTTAACCTCCCTCTTCTCTGCCCAATTGTGACCTGTTTAGAGATCCTACAACTTATCCACAACCACCAGTGTTGGGCTATCATTTATTGCCAGTTCTAATGTTCAGTTGCCACAGTCCTTAGGAAACAGCTTAAAGTCAAAGAACAGTACATTCTTTACAAAACTCACGTTGCTCAACAAGTTCCAAATTATCTATCCATCAGGGGAGCTCTGCCTTTCCCCTAAAGTTGTTCAGAGACTAATGAAGCAAAACAAAATTGCTGCTCATCTCCCCTAGAGGAAAAACGTCAAGCCTGAACTTCTACCTCCTAGAAACCTCCCCAGTTTCTTGACCCTGTGGTTCTCTTCTCGGGTTCGGTCTGTACCATCCTCGACCTCTTGGAACTTTAGGATAAGAGCCATATCCTCTGCTCTTGGTCTTTTCCCACCGCCTGCAATCTTGCATCTCACACTGTCCCTTCCACTTAGGGGGCTCCTTGAGCTCACAATGGCTAACCTCCCGGGTATCTTCCTCTCTGCCTTGGGCTTGAATTGTCTGCATTGTCCTCCGGTATCCCACAGAGGTTTTCTCCTCTATTGAATACATTCCCTCTTTGACTGAGGAAAGATCCCTGGCACTTAGCTCTTTTCGAGCCGTGAGTAAAGACACTGGTTCTCTATTACATGACTTTGGGAAGTCCTGGCTGTAGTTCCCACAGTTCCACTGTCCTCTCTCTTTTCTCCGGTGAGGTCTCCTACTGAAGCCTCTGGATTCTCCCTCAACAGGAACGAGATGGGCTTCTACCGGAATTTCCAGGGTCTTGTAGTGCATTTGCCAGCCAGGACCATGTAAAGATGGCTTTTCCCCTCGAGTCCTCTCCCTCTTGCTATGGTGATGGAAGGTAATAGATGGTCTCTCCATTTTGTCAGGCTCATTTCTTGTTGTAACAGCCTTTGTAGTTTCCTGTGGATTTTCTGAGTCAATTAGTGGCTTCAGGTCCTTTTCAGTATCCAAATCCTTCTCTGAGATGGCAGCGTGTTCACATTCAGTTGCAACTGTGGGCTGAGAAGGAGAGATGTCAAAATGAAGGGTACAAAACACATAAACCTGGCTGCTTCCTTAAAAAAAGAAAAGCCCATGGATGTGAAAAGTATCACAGAAGAAGCTAAAAACATTGCTGCTACTAAACCTAAATTCAATGGCCAATTCCAGCTAAGGAAAACCTACGGACCACTGCTGAATGGCAAGCCAACAAACTCCATTAATTTAATTGGTCACTCCGGTGGAACTAACAATTAGCTTCAAGTAATACTCTACTGGTTTAGGTAAAGGTAACGGTTCCCCTTGACAATTTTTGTCCAGTCGTGTTCGCCTCTAGAGGGCGGTGCTCATCCCCGTCCCCAAGCCATAGAGCCAGCGTTTGTCCGAAGACAATCTTCCGTGGTCACATGGCCAGTGCGACTTAGACACGGAACGCTGTTTACCTTCCCACCGAGGTGGTCCCTATTGATCTACTTGCATTTGCATGCTTTCGAACCGCTAGGTTGGCGGGAGCTGGGACAAGCGACGGGAGCTCACTCCGTCGCGTGGATTCGATCTTACGACTGCTTGGTCTTCTGACCCTGCAGCACAGGCTTCTGCGGTTTAGCCCGCAGCGCCACCACGTCCCTTCCTACTGGTTTAACTCCCCTAATAAACTCTGTGAAGTAGTTTTTAAAATGTTATTAACAATAGGAGTCTACTGTACTTTGAAGAAACTACCTAGAATGAAAACTACAAATGGCACGACTATGTTGCAATTTACCCTGCAGTTTGCACTGATCATTTCAATGTATTTTCCTGCAATTACAAGACATACAGCCAATGGCACAGAAGCTCAGCCTTTGTTGAACTCAAGGTGGGAAAAACAGAAATTGTAGGTGCAATGAAATAATTAGGGGACGGCAACAATGAATTCGGCAGTGGCAACTGCCAGAGTTGCGGTATAAAAAAAGCAGTACCAACCCAGGATACTACTGTGTAGTGAAGCCCAAAGTCATCTCTTGGGTTATAGGCAGGATAGCATAGCATGTAAAAGCTGTTAGTTGCACTTCTACTAAGAATCAACTGCTTACCCACTCTGGAAAGTCTACTCTGTTCTGTCATTATTAACTCTTTGTGGTATCTGCTCAGTAATCCAAGTGATCCCACTAACCTTTTGAAGGCTAATGAAGTACCGATTCTTCTCTTCCTCAGGGTTAATTATCCCTCCTTTTTCTTGTTGTTTCTGGTAGATCAGGCGTAGTTGCTCTCTGTGCAATAGTGTCTGAGTGTCAGGCTGGTATATCTCCTAAGGGGGAGGAAAACATTATGTCACCAGATAGCTCACAGAAATGAAGTATTTCAGCTGGGTGCTACAAACCCACTATTTCCCCTTTGAAAAAAAAATCCATACTATATGAGAAACAATGACTCTGTTTCCAGAAGAGCAAAATGGTTAAAATGTGCTTGGATAATTATAGCTGCATGTTAATTATGGCTGTATGGGTGTACTAGATGCAGTGTGTTTGCCAGGAACAATTTGCTACTTTTTTTCTTCATTCCTGGCAATGAATTAATATACAGTAGATAAAATCTATATGTATGGGGTAAAATCTGTTCAGTCACCTACAGTCCAGAGAAGCACAGAACACCACTGCAGGTCAAGGGCTGGAGAACATGTGTCCCCTCAGGTATTACTGGACTGCAACTTCTATCATGCCTCACCATTGGCTCTGCGGGCCAAGACTGATGGAAGCTTGAAAACAATATCAGGAGGAGCACACGTTCTTCTGGTTTCTACTATGTGATAATTTGGAAACAACTTAACAAAACTTGTTTAGAGAGTTGTGGCTCAACAAATCTATCAACTGACAGAGACAGGAATTATAAAATACTTTTTCCACATATTTTAAGGAGGTGACAGCACCTCAGAGATCCCCTCATGCTGGTGTCCTTACCACTGGCTGCTGTGGGGCTGGAGCTGCTTGCAGGGTTGCAAGGTCATACACTAGAGGCTCCCGGCACACAGGACATGGCACTTCAATTTCCTGCACAGGAAAAGTAGCAACAACAATCTTAAGCATGAGCTACTAGACTGAACTGCTGGATGGCTTGGTGCTTTAAGGCAGTGGTCCTCAACCTTGGGCCTCCAGATGTTTTTGGACTTCAACTCCCAGAAATCCTGGCCTGCACAGGAAAAGTAGCAACAACAATCGTAAGCATGAACTACTAGACTGAACTGCTGGATGGCTTAGTGCTTTAAGGCATCTAGCTGCAGAGCCAGAGATTGCGAGTTTGAGTCTACACTGGGGCTGGACTCGATGATCCATAGGGTGCCTTCCAGCTCTGTCCACACTGGGGCTGGACCTGATGAGCCATAGGGGCCTTCCAGCTCTGCAGTTCTAAGATTATAAAGATTAGATACTGACATGAAATAGTCCATTGCTGTCAAAGTAATCTATCATCACTCTGCTTTGGTAGGTAACAACTTTCTGATAAATAGTTCCACTTCAAGTACTTAAACATATGGTATCAGTAAAAGAACAGCTTCCCACAATTCAATGGCCCAAATCTTGTTGCTTAGTGCAGGAAATTGCACTAGTATAGGCCTAGTGAATTAATGGGGATTTTGTGAGTCGATTCATTAAAATCCCCATTATAATGTAAGTCTCAGTTAGAGCAGGTCGACTTGAATCAATGGAACCTACAGAGGAGCTAACTCACCAAATCCTCATTGATTCACTGGGCCTACTCTAGTGCAATTTACTACACCAAGCAACAGGATTTTGGTTAACATTATTGAGACAGTCTAAATTCCCCATCCTTATTCATCCCTCCCTTATTCTCTTGTATCCACACTCCAACCCTTACCCTTATTGAAAATGAATAAAAACTTTTTAAAAAAAGAGTCTAAATTCTGATATTTTGAGAATTAATTTAATGGCACAGGTGTTTACTGCTAAAAGTTTGTTTTTGGATGCTTGTGGGCCTTCCTAATGCAACAACAGTGTACATTAAAACTAATAGAACTGCTTCATGTTGCAAAAAGTATCACTAGAAACCCTGTCCCAAGCATATTCTATTAGGGAGAGAGATGATTTTGTTGTTTTAGCATATTAAAATTGCAAAGCAGCACTGTTATGCAGGCAACAAAATCATTCTCTTTCTCTGCTCCTCCATCCAAATATATTACAGTCTACTCATACATTTATTCAAAGTTGGCCCCATGGTGTTGGTTTATTGTTGAACACCTGATTCAGATGTCTCAGCTTTGCAATCTTGAGATTTATTAATGCCTGTTAGAGAGGAAGTTTTTAGGCTGGATTTTTGTTTTTTGTATATTTATTGTTTTAATTCTGCTTGTATATTTATCTCACTTTTTTATAACTGCACACAGCAATGGCTTGCTACTAGATGGGTGGGGTATAACTCCAATAAAGAAATAAATAAGTAGGAGTAACAATGCTGCTATCTTCAAAAGTTTTCAAACCAGATTTCCAACTTCTTTACTCTTATTATGAAAGACACTCACAAAGCATGCATGGGATTGGAAAAAGGAAGCTGCTTATTACTTTGTGGGAAATTCATGTCCATATGTCACAGTGCCATAACAAGAAAGACTGCCCCAGACTCAAAAACCATTCATAGAAAAGAAGTGAATTGTTAGAAATGGTTGTGGTGGACAAATAGTAATTACCCTTCAGAACACGGCCAAAGAGCCCGAACAACCGACAATAACCATTAGATCCCGGCCGTGAAAGCCTTCGCGAATGCAGCAATTACCTCCTTTGGCAGAGGTGTTAACGGTGGTGCTCTTTCTTCCCTTTGTGCGCGGATCTCCTTCTCCATATGCTCTGCATAGCTGGCAAGGCAATGTGAATGGAAGTAGTGGTAGCATAGAGTCTTAGTGAAAGCTTCATTCTCCTGTCCAGTGAAAAAGAGAGATTCTTACATATTCATTATGCATCTAAAACGGCATTATTTGCAGAATGTAAGTTATGCAACTGTGACATGAGGATAACGGCTTGGATCCAAAGAGTCACATACAGCATTTTGCACATGAACTGTGGTTCTCCTGGCTCTCATTGCCAATGCAGCACCTTGCCCATTTTTTAAGCTGGAGAGGTGTCACTCCAGCATGGGATGGTAGTAGTGACAGATGGAGGTCAGCTGGCTGCTGTAGTGTGGTTCAAAGGAAAGCACAATAAACTTTAGCCCAGACCAGTGATGCTGTCCTACTTTAAAGGACTGATACACTGCTTGCTTTGGACTTTAGCCCAGACCAATGATGCTGTCCTACTTTAAAGGACTGATACACTGCTTGCTTTGATAACATAACTAAAGCGCCTTGTATACTGTACCTAAAAATCTTAAATTGCTTCTCATACATTTGCTATTAGGATGCACAAATCTGCATCTCAGATATAAAAATCAGAGTTCTTGCTCCTTAAGATTAAGAAACAAGCCGAGAAATAGCTGCCTATCCATGTGTCTTTGGTAATCACAGCTTTTTGACAATTATATGGTTAAAACTGCTACACATATGACGCTAGATTGTTAGATCTTGCAGTTATCTGCTGGATGATTGTAAAACCTTGCATGTTATTCTAGACCTCTAGTTTCTGTTACAGAGACAGAAGTGTGTGTGTGCATACCTGTATCCTACACAAATTGTACTTTTCTGTGGCTCTTAGCCAGCATCACTTTACTACCTTAAAAATTAATGGCAAGTTCTGAAATTCAGAATATTACATATTTTCTAGTTAGAAAAAGAAATGTAATTACAAGTTTCTAACAGATACAAGGAACATACATGCCTGACAGCATTTCTGAAGCTATACTGCACACATCTGCACATAGAAACAAGCAATTTATTGGTTTACCTAGAGATGAAGTATATTTGGTGTATCTAGTCATTACATGCTGTCAAGCTAAACCAGGTTTCTTTTCTTACCACCATGCTGAGGATACGATAGTCCTGCACATGGTTTCCTTGTGCCTCAGTCTATAAAATACCACCTGATTCCCTCCTCAATAAGGTTAATCATCACAGATACCCCAATAGGCTCCCACTCTTCCTTCCTGAGTCCCATAATCAATATTTTCTTGTCCTTAGGGGAATGCTGTCAATTCCTCTGGCTCACAAAAGATGAAAGCAAGATGCCAGTCCAGAACATTCTTACCTGAAAGCCATACAGACAAATCACACATTGGCCATGAGGGATGTTGTTGTCGGTAAGGATTTCCTTTCCCTTCTGCGAAGAGAGGGAGAAGCAGTGGGACATTTCAGGAATTCAGTTTGTAAAGTGTTCAGGCCAGAACTATCCCCTATCTTTAGGTATGAACAACACCCCAGAACTACCAGTCCTCTCTGTTCTCTTACCTCTATTAGCTCATATAGCATGGCAGTACCCAGTTGGGCCTGAGCAACACTCTGCAGCATCAGAGAGATCCTAGGGACACAAAGAAAAGCGTGTCAGGCATGCAGCTAAGAGAGATGTTCAGGGAGGTGAAAGGGTAACACTCAGAGAAGTGGCAAATTCAGCCAATTGCAATAGCAAGGTGCACATCAGCACATTCAGAACTTCAGTCTAATGGTCTCATCCCATCTCCCAGAATAGCGATTTCTGAACACATGGAAATATTTTTGTACTACTCTGAAAGGACATAGTACCACAAGAGCTGTGGGTGATGCATTATCTGCTTAGACAAGCGCTGCTCTGGAGGAAGACTAGAACGGGAATCCTGCATTGCTAGTCAGCCATGAGTATGGGGTGCTAGCCCCTGTTGGCGGTGGTGTCTTGAGAGCAGAAGACTCCTCTCAACATACTCCATGAAAGAAATGCAAACAGCCAACATTATACAGTAATGCCATTTTGCAAAATGCTGGTAAGGCCACACCTGGAATATTGCATACAGTTCTGGTCACCGCACCTCAATAAAGACATTGTAGAACTGGAAAAAGTGCAGAGGAGAGCGACTCAAATGATGACTCAGCTGGGGCACCTACCTTAGGAGGAAAGGCTACTGCATTTGGGGCTCTTTAATCTAGAGAAAAGGCGCCTGAGGGGAGACAAGACTGAGACATATAAAATGATGCAGGGGATTGATAAAGTGGATAGAGGGAAGATCTTTTCCCTCTCATGCAATACCAGAACCAGAGGACATCTACTCCAATTCAGTGTTGGGAGAATGAGAACAGACAAAAGAAAATATTCCTTTACACAATGTGTTGTTAGTCTGTGGAACTCCTTGCAACAGGAGGGGGTGATGGCATCTGGCCTAGATGCCTTTAAAAGGGGATTGGACAGATTCCTGGAGGAAAAGTCCATTGCAAGTTACAAGCCATGATGGGGATGTATAATCTCCAGGCTTAGAAGGAAGGTACTTCAAAATGCCAGATGGAGGAGGGGTATCAGGAGACAGGTATTTAGCTGCCTTGTGTGCTCCCCGAGGCATCTGATGGGGCCACTGTGAGCTACAGGGAGCTGGACTAGATGGGTCCTTGGCCTGATCCAGCAGGGTTCTTACGTTCTAATACCTTTTCCTGGAAATATTTCCTTTAAACTGCATTCCCACCAACTTTAAACACAATCACCACAGTTAAACACAAAGTACATTGTACAAATGGCTGCTGTTCTTAATCCTACAATAAAATATGCTTTCCTTCCTCTCTGTATCAATCAGATTGACACCTCTTTTCTATAGCCCACTTCTCAATTCAAGAAACAAGCTGCATAATGTACATTTCACAATATCACTGTGGGGGCAGAGACACATACAATATCAGAATAATAACATTTGCAATAGAAGTGTGTTACAAACAAAAGCAACTACTATCTTACTTCTTGCATTGAATTCTGAGATCAAGTATATGACACTTACTTCTGAATCTGCTCATCTGACAAACCCCGAGGATTCCGAATGCTTATCTTTGGCACTTCATCTGGATACTAAAATGGAACAAGATTAAGTCAAAATGGAAAACAGAACAATGACCCATAGCAAAATAATCACAAAGGTGTTATGGGACTTACCTGGGGAGGCAAAGACAGCACAAGAGTAAAGCAAACATACTGAGAATCTTGATCCTCTGCAGTTGCTGGATGTAAGGTGATGGAAATTTCCCAGGGCACAGACCTAGGAACAGAGTAAAGGTCAGGCTGTGCTGGATAAGCAGAAGGCATTAATAAAAGGAAGATGGAACAGAATAATGGTGCAGATGATGTGCTAGTCCTTCCTCTATTAGGCAAAAAAGAAACTAAAATTACACACAGAACTTACATATGCAGACACCCATCTTATCAAGATGATATTTAGAATTAGGGTATCCAATACTAGGAGAAAAGATGAATTATGACTAAAACTCCTGGGAAAAGTCCCAGTATGAATCACAGACTGAAAACCATTCTAAGTTCATGCAGGACACTTTGGAAATAATGATAACAGAAGATCATTCACTGCTTCTAAAACAAAGAATCAGGTTCCAAAACATGTGTAAGATTGCAGGAGGAAGCATCATTTTACACAAATAATTTGTAGCCTGCTTGCCAGATCTAATGCAGACGTAAAGTCAAATCTAGAACCTCACCTGTTTGTTCCACCCCGTGTCAACAATAATGTAGGGAGAAACTTCCCACCATGCATACTTGTATACAAACAGGTATGTGTGGGGATGAGAGCTGTAACAGTATAAGTGGCCCCACCCAGGCTGGGATGAAAAAAGGTTCCCCATTCATGCCTTACATACCTGCCATCTCCTTTACAGACTTGCAGCTCATCCAAGTAGATGGATTCTAGGACCTCCACCTCAGAAGGCAAAGTCCTAAAGAGAAAGAAATAAAGTTACACAGAAAATCATTTCTTCATTTCACTTATTTTTGATATAACATATTTTTACAGTATTACTGTGACAGGCAAGTTTCCCTCAACAGTTATGATGCAATCTGTTCCTAAGAGAAAAAAGACAATGCACCAATCACACCAGAAAATGGAAGGATCTTTAGTGTTTAGGAGCACTAACTCTTTTAAAGTATTAACATACAATGCCATCAAATCAATTCTGATTAATGATGGCCCTTCCCAGAGTTTTCAAGATATAGAGTACTCAGAAGTGATTTACCGCTCTCTTCTTCTGCAGACACACTGGCACTGCGCAGCTTACCCAACGCTACACAAACTGGTTCAGACACCCTGGCACTGTGCAGCTTACCCAACGCTACACAAACTGGTTCTTCTCCCTGGAGGCCCCTGGCAAATCAAACTCTGGTCTACCTACTCAGCCCTCCATCCATCCAAACCAATAACATAACCTGACCTACATCATGCCAAGTTTAACTGAAAGCTAAGGGCAGAGCAAGACATTGAGAATCTATTTTGGCCCAGTATGGGCAATTCTGCTGTCGCTTGTTAACAACAATACAAGTGGCACTCATTTATTTATACAGTATTCATTTATTTATTTAACTTATATGCCGCCCACACTACCCAAAGGTCTCTGGGCAGCTTACAACAATTAAAATACAATAAAAAGATAAAACATTTAAAATACAATTAAAATATATACTCTAAAAATTTCTCCCTATTCACTCCCTAAAATAGATCTGTGAAATTCTTATTTGTATGACTATTCTTATTCACTAACATCACTGAATAATAAAAAAGCAGTCATATCTCCCTTTGGATCTGTTGGTTTAGAAACCACTGATTTGTATAACCCCCTTAGGGCAACAACTAGAAACACAGATGTCAATAAGCTACTGCACAGTTTGCTTATATAGTCTGCAAGAGAAAACAGGAGGATTATATATAATTTATTTATTTAATTTATACTATCTGATTAGTGAATTCATGCTACTTTGGATAGTGTACAAACAAGCAGGCATCACCCACTTCATTCCCATAATAACATCCTCAAAACGGCACTATAATCAATTCAAGTGTGGTAATCTACAGAAAACCTAACATTCAAAGGTTAAAATCAACATAATTTGATGATATGATAAAGGCTTCCTTATGTATTTCTATCTTGATACTGTAATCCCTTGAATATTGTGAAGGATGGAGCCTGATACACCTCAACGAGTAGTTTGTTCCACAAAATGGGGGCTTTTACTGAGAAAGCCCAACTCCCTGTTGTTACCTTTCTAGCTTCCCTCAGTTTAGCCACCTTTAACATTAGGTGCGTGATAAAGGAAGCTGTTTTGGGGGAGAGATATTCCGACAACTGCTGATGTCATGTGCTGTTTAGGTTTTAAAAGTCATAACCAGCACCTTGAAATAAGCATGGAAACTAACAGGGAGCCAATGTAAGTGGGCCAAGGCTGGGGATATACGATGAAATTTACTAGTCCCTGACATCAGTCTAGCCACCATATTTTGGCCCTGCTGGATTTTCTGCACTATTTTCAAAGGCAATCCTTTGTAGAGAGCATTGCAGAAGTCTATTTTTGAAATCACTAATGCATGCACAATTGTTTTAGGGACTTCTTATCCTGATTGGTTGATTGCCCAGCTGTGCGCCTAAGTTGACAGAAGGCACTCCTGAACACAGCCAGTATTTAAGTCTCCATAGAGGACACTGGGTCTAGGAATACCCCCAGGCTCTGCACCCAACTTTTCAGAGAGAATGTAACCCCATTTAGACCAGGTAGATTTCACTTTCACCAATATGATGTCCTTCATAACAGCACAATCACTGTCTTGTCTGGATTAAGTTCCAACTTGTTAGCCAGTGTCCAGTCCACAAATAATACCAGATAGTGCTCAAGGACCTCTGCAGATGAAGCAAAAGAGAGCTAGAGCTGCCTGCCAGCAGTACTGGTGACAACATACTCAAAATTACCAAATGATTACTCCTAGCAGTTTCATATAGGGGCAAATCATGGGGAAATAGCAGACCCCCTGTGGAACCCCACAGCGGAGGTCTTACGGGATCGAAACAGAATCCTTATACTGTACCATCTGAAACTGGCCATCAAGGAAGGCCCAGTACTAGCAAAGAGCAGAACTGCTGATCCCTAAACTCAACAGCCATCCCAGGTGGATACCATGGTCGGCAGTTTCAAAGGCCCCAAAAGGTCTCTAGGAGCCCTAGCAGGGTTACACTCCCCCTATTAGCCTCTTTTAGATCGTCTTACAGAGTGATCAGTGCTGTTTCTGTCCTGTGAGGCACCTTGAACCCGAACTGAAATGGATCTTGACTTTCCTTTCCATCCACAAACACCTGTAGGACAAGTGACTGACCCAAAAAAATCCAGTACTCTACGATTCTACAGACAATTCTTCACAAGAGATTTTTTCCTACTATAAAAACAATAACATTAAATCCCCAAAAGATTTATCATAAGCTCTATCACCCAATTCAAAGGGAAGAGAAAAGGGTTAACCAGTAGAGTGGATTTGCTATTAGGTGTGGTTCTGATTTCTGCTCCTTCACGTCACTGGGGCCTCATCACCTACTCTTTTTGCCTCCGTCGTTCCTCAGCTCTGAAATATAAAATCGCTCTCCTTCACACCGGGTGCTCGTGACAAGCAACGTAAAAAACTACACACGATACGGGCGTTACATAACTAAATAAGTACAGCCGGGTGGTGAAAAAAAACCCAGATCTGAACTGGAAGATACGAAGAGAAGGAAAGTAAAGCCGTAATGGGGATAAAAACAAAAGGGCAAACCAGTCATTCGCTGATCCACGTCTCTCGGTGTGCCTGAAGAGACACAAACTACCCTCTCACCATTCCTCCTGCTCCTGCTCTTCCACGCCTCCGGCAGCCTCCATCTTGCCTGCTCGAAACCGGAACTACTTCGAGCGCCGCGCGGCCCTTTTCCGGCACCGGGCGTTGCTAAGCAACAGGACGACGACGACGACGCCGTGGTCTGACGCCTGCGCCAACAACCGACGGACTCCTCTCCCCCCGCCCCTTGGAACGCCCCAAGTCCTCGCGCGGAAGAACGGCGGGTCTTGCCGTAAAAGTTCCGAGGGAAGGCAGGCAGGCGGAGGTGGGTCGGGGGTCTTCGGTTTGGGGCTGGGGATTAAAAGGACTGCGTGTGAACGCCCCCCTCCCGCCTACGATCGCAATTCTCGACACGCGTCTATTGAATGGGCGTAAGTGGAAATACAAAGTGGGCGTGTGCAACAACCAAAGGCAGAGTTGAGTGTGCAGTGCTTACTGTATTACGAACTTAAGCCTTTGAAACTTTGGCAGAAGTGGCGCCAAGCCGGTGTGGGCTTTTGGGTTTTACAGAATTCTTTGTCAGGCACGGTGGTACAAAGATTAAGAGGACAGAGAAGACGCACTTAAAAAAAAAAAAAACCAAAACACTACAAGGCAAAAAAGCCGTGATACGTTGGCCGTGTTGTGTCTTTTTGTCACTGTAAGATACCGAAAGCAGACATGGCTAAGAGAGGGGAAAGTGTTAAAAGTTTGGGGGCTTGCTTGGGGTGCAAGGTTAGTAAGGCTCCTCCAGGCTCCACTGAACGCGGGGCTGGAGGCAATCCAGAGCCCCTAAGGAGTTGAGGAGAAATCGCGATCAGGCCGCATGGTCGCGGAAACAATGCAAATAAGGGAGCAGGTAATACCTTTAACTGACCATTCGATGATAAATCATCATCTTCAAGGCTGTGCCTCCAGTTCTTGTGGGCAGTTCCAAACTTAGGTGCTGTTTTTAACTTGCTTTATAATCTTAAACAGCACCCACGTTTGGAATTGCCCACAAGAACTTGAGGCAAAGCCTTGAAGATGATGATTCATCCTTGAAAGCTTCCCATTTGTTTTTTTGTCTTCATTTTTGTTGTTGTTTTCTGTTCTTAATGGTCGATTAAAGGCATTGCCTGATCCTGCATTTAGAATGAGTTGAGAGTTAGTAATATTTAAATTTGATGCCCATGGACCTCCCAGAAGAAATAAACTGCCAAAGAAAAAAGTAACGTGTCCAAAACCAAGGTCAGGGACGAAAAATATTGGAGAGAGCGGAGGGTAGCTAGTAAGGCTTGGAGTGCCAGGGGATCTTGGGCTGATCTTCTGAAAGACTGGCTGAAGAAATGGGAGATGGTGTGAGATAGCAGATCTTTTACTCAGCAAAGGCTTGTATCTAATGAAGATGCAGTATCTAGCACGAGAGGAATCAGGAATTTATGTGGTATAACATTATTTACAATGAGCTGTGTGTCTGACACTTCAGGGAGTCTGTAGAAAGAAGGGCAAATGTGAGGTTACTGTTAGAGAGAGAATATTAGATTTAAAACAAAACGAGATTGCAAAAACATTATAACACTTTAAATATTAACTGCTGTACTGTATTTTAATGTGAGTTTTCACGGATCAAGTTTACTGTACTTACTCAGACCAAGAAAGTTCATGTTACAATATAGCAATTAGTCTTTAAAGTGCCACAATGTTTTTGCCTCTTGTTTTTGTTTGTTTTGTTTTTTATTTTTATTTTTTTGGTCTGATATGCTTGTACAGACTGACATGGCTACTTCTTCCAAAAATGCAACTATCTTAGAAGGAGAGGTATTGATAGTGAGGGGAGAAGAGGTTCAACTGCTGAAACAGGAAGATGCAAACTGCCACACACTCCAACTTCTGTACTGTGGGGCAATCCATCTGTGGATTAAGACAGTGTACTGAGGAGGCCCTAGAACAGTGGTGGCGAACCTTTTTGGGCACGGAGGTGCCTTGGGACCCCATTCTGGATCCACCACCAGTGCCAGCTTCTCCGGATCCGCCTGCTGAAGCGCCAGCACCATGGCTGCAGCTGCCTTCTCAGGTTTGGCTTGGTGGGAGGAGTAGCGATCCAGCCACTTATGGCTCGCGTGCCGGCAGAAGGGGCTCCGCATGCCAGCTGTGGCATACATGCCATAGGTTCGCCATCACTGCCCTAGAAGTTTCCTGTTCTATCATCATGGCATTAATGGTTTGTTTGATCAGACTGCCTACAGTGCTGCATGCGAGAATAGTGCAGTGATGCTCTTTGGAGTGCATGCTGTGATATCTTGTGTCGGTAAGGCAGCAGGCAGTGAGGTGGGGTTGTTGTGATGATACAGTATGTGTATACATATGTGTGCACAGTTTGCCACCTCTTCTAACCTACTGCCTGAAGCTGACCTCATAGGAATACTGACCTTGGGTGTTGTTGAAGTTCTGGAATGAATGAATGCTAGCAAGACATTATGCCAGACATCAAAACCAGCAACAGCTATCTCTGCACTTTCAGGGTTCACACTCAGCCCTCTTCTCACATCCCCACTATGGAGAAGTATCATGTGTTGGAAATGATTGGAGAAGGTTCTTTTGGAAGAGTGTACAAGGGTCGTCGTAAATACAGTGCACTGGTAAGAACAGAAATGAAGACTGGGAAGACTCAACAGGGAGGCTACATAAGAATTAATTTCTTAAGTCTGCTAGTGGGCAATTTGTTCCTTTGTTTGTTTTTCTAGCTTTTCTTTTAACTTTGGCAGATTGTGGCCTTGAAGTTTATCCCCAAAGTGGGTCGTTCACAGAAAGAGCTGAAAAATTTGCAACGAGAGATTGAGATCATGAGGGGGCTTCATCATCCCAATATTGTCCAGATGCTTGACAGTTTTGAGACTGATAAAGAGGTGAGTTCTTGTGCACACACCCCCAAAGGCTATTGCTACTTCAGTCACCAAAATGTGATGATACGTGCTGGACTTTCTAGATCAATGGTTCTCAAATTTGGGTCCTGAGATGTTTTTGGACTAAAACTCTCAGAAGCCTTTACCACTGACTTTGCTGGCCAGGATTTCTGGGAGTTGTCATGCAAGAACATCTAGGGACAAAGGTTGGGAACCACTGTTCTAGATCAGTGGTTCTAAGCATCGAGGGACCAAGGTTGGGAACCACTGTTCTAGGTTATTGCCCTTGAACTGAGTAGGCACTGTAGTCATAGTGTGTATGCCCACCCATCTCAGACTTTGTGAATGTTCTTATTGGCCTTCTGGTCTGACTCTTTTCCTCCAGGTGGTGGTAGTGACAGACTATGCTGAAGGGGAACTCTTTCAGCCCTTGAACTGAGTAGACACTGTAGTCATAGTGTGTATGCCCACCCATCTCAGACTTTGTGAATGTTCTTATTGGCCTTCTGGTCTGACTCTTTTCCTCCAGGTGGTGGTAGTGACAGACTATGCTGAAGGGGAACTCTTTCAGATCCTTCAGGATGATGGAAACTTGCCTGAGGAGCAGGTAACTATTATGAAGAGAGTGTGGAAGCAGGCATTTGCATAAGCAGGGAAATAAATACAGGAAGACAAGAATAAAAGTGTGTAATACTGTAGTTGGATCCAACTAATCCATGAGTCCTCCGTTTGTGTATTCAGCATAAACGTATTGCAGTCACCTTGAGATGAGGTGCCACAAGTCTGGAGATGGACAAATATTGTTCCAGTTTTCAGAAAGAAGAAGAAGGAGGATATGGAAAATTAGAGATTCATTAGTCTGACTCTGCTAGCAGATACTGGAATGAAGTTATAAACCATTCAGCCTAACCATCTCAATAAGAGTGAAAGAATTAGAGGAATTGAGCAGGCGTATTTACTGATTGTCAAGGTTGTTTTTCTCGTTGTTCCAGTTTTCAGAAAGAGGAAGGAGGAGGATATGGAAAATTATGGATTCATTAATTTGATTCTGCTAGCAGATACTGGAATGAAATTATAAATCATTCAGCCTGTTAACATCTCGATAAAAGTGAAAGGATTAGAGGAATTGAGCAAGCTTATTTACTGATTGTCAAGGTTGTTTTTCTCTCTCAGGTTCAAGTTATTGCCTCTCAGTTGGTGTCAGCACTTTATTACTTGCACTCACACCGCATCCTTCACCGTGACATGAAACCCCAGAATATCTTGTTGGGCAAAGGGGGCGTAGTCAAGCTCTGTGACTTTGGGTATGTATCTTAAGATCTTCCCTTACCTGCTACTAGTGCTTGGTCAAGATGCTGAAAGATCTGTTGTGTTCCTTCTTTCCTCGGAAGGTTTGCCCGTGCAATGAGTATTAACACTATGGTGCTGACATCAATCAAAGGAACTCCACTGTATATGTCTCCTGAGCTGGTAGAAGAGAAGCCCTATGACCACACTGCTGATCTTTGGTCAGTAGGATGTATTCTGTATGAATTGTATGTGGGGACTCCACCTTTCTACACTAACAGCATCTTCCAGTTAGTTAGCCTGATCATCAAAGATCCAATCAAGTGGCCAAAAGACATGAGTCCTCACTTCAAGGTATCTGTTTGTGTCATTCTTCCCAGTCTAGCAGATGTATGCATATTTTATCCTTATTCTGATTTTATTCATAGTATATCTGGGTTTGCTTAGGACCATCAGAGAAATCTTGTGATACTGGGGTTTATAACTTTGGGTCTCCAATATCTAAACCTAGCCAGTTGTACTTAGTGCAGCACAGTAGATCATGGGGCTCCAAACTATGGCCCGTGGGCCACATCTGGCCTGCGTTGCCGTTTTGTGTGGCCCGTACCCTTCAGCCATGTGGGGGCGTGCATGCATGCAGGCGTCCGTGCATGCGGGGATGGGTGTGTCCATGGGGGGGGGACGACAGATGGGTATGTATGTGGGTGGGGGCAGGCGGAGGGGTTCATGCAACTGCATGTATGCTTGTGTGCATACACACACATTCCTGTTCCTTCAGCCCTCAAAAACTTTGAAAATATCTGGTGTGACCCTCACTATAAAATGTTTGGAGACCTTGCACTAGATGTATGTGTGGCTTGACTTCATGCTCTCTTAAGGAACTTGTTAGTTTTAGACCCATTTCACCCATGCTGCCTAGAGTACACTTGAATCTCTGTCCACTGTCACGGTGTCATCTATGAAAAATAGAAGAATACTTTAAAGACCATTTATGTAATTTTTAAAGTGAGATCTGTGCAATAAGGTGTATTTATAACCCATTCAAAATGTTGTGTTTTTGTGTCACCTGTGAATACCTACATTCTATCTTAACTACATTTTTATCATCCTATCCTCCAGTTTTCAGTCCCTTCTGTAGTGTTTGAAAATGATTGATTTTAATGTCTTCCTCCCTTTGGTCAGTGCTGTAAGACCCAGAACAGCAATTTTGACTGATTCCATTTCTTCTTCCAAGAGAGTTGCCCATTTATTTTTGTTTTTTGTTCTCCCCAGCCTTGGATGGTTAAAGCTGACAAGGTGCAGAGAAAGCCTCGTCAGTTTCACTGGCTTATTGCATGCAGAGGGAGCAAAAATATAGCAGCCACCAAACATCACTAGTTGCTTGCATTTGGCTTGGTGGCTTATGGGTTTTCCTACCTGTTCCAAGTATTTATTTATTTATTTATTTATTGGACTTATATACCGCCCCATAGCGCTACAAGCACTCTCCGGGCGGTTTACAATTTTTTTTAATTATACAGGCTACACATTGCAAGTATGTGAGAGGATCTGGTGTTGTGCCGTAAAAATTATGTTGAAGTTGAGTAGAAAATTTTTGTTCTTTTTCAAATTCCACAAAGAATCCAGAATCCAATAATTTGGAGGGCTCCTGGAATCTGTGTTTTTTAAAACAAAATTTTATTCTAATTCATCTGCTCTGGAGATACATTTTTAAAAGTTTAAAAGTCTTACCATGGTCAACTTTTTCATAATTTTATGCCTGCATAGTCTTTTTATGACTTGACTACCTCAGCAGCAACCTACTCCGTGGGTCTGGTACCACTGAATTATAATCCAGCAGTTTTTCCTGCCATTCCAACAGTTTCAAGTTGCTGCTTCTTCAACAGGTCCAAGCAGATAACTTCTGTTTTTCTTTCTCTACAGTCTTAGTTCTGACCATCATCCTGCAGGGATTAGACTAACAGATTACTGTATTTGCTAATAGATATGCTTGAGGTATTTTTTTTTTAAAAAAAAACAACAACACACACAACGTTTTAAACAGTATCACGAGATCATCAAGTTTCATAAGGTACAGCAATACAGTCATGGTTGCTAGATATTTTTCAATTTTGAACCATAGAAAATTAAACATAGGAACAAAGACAGTGTTCTTAGGATTCTAGCACTCAGGACAATTTACATACAGTCATCATAGGCATCCTTCAGTCTCCGCTTGACGACGAATCTGCTTCACAATGAAGTTTCTGCGATCGCATTTGCGATCGCAAAACAATGTTTTAATGGGCAAAAACTGCTTTACGAGGATCAGTTCCCTGCTTCGGGAACTGATTCCTTACATTACCACGATTAAAACAGCTGATTGTCGGGTTTTCAAAATGGCCACCAGCTGCTCAAAATGGCTCCCCACTGTGTTAAGGAAGGAATTTTTCGCTTCACAGGCATGGAAAATGGCCACTCTATGGAGGATCCTCGCTGGACGCTGAGGTATTTAGCCCATTGGAATGCATTAAACCAGTTTTCAATGCATTTGAATGGGCTTTTTTATTTCGCTTGATGAGAATTTCGTTCTACAGTGATTTCGCTGGAACGGATTACCCTCGTCAAGCGAGGCACCACTGTATTGTTGGATTTGTGACCAGGAGGTTGCATTGACTCTGAGGCTCTGCAGTTAAATTAGTAACTGTGATTATGGGAAGACTGTGAATGCTATATAGATGTGCAGGTGATAATCTGTCATCAATGTGCAGAGCTTCTTGCAAGGCCTCCTGACGAAGGACCCTCGTCAGCGCTTGTCATGGCCAGAGCTACTGTATCATCCCTTCATTGCTGGGCGGGTCACTGGTAAGTATTGACTTTTGTCCTTTCCACCAGTTCACTGCTTTTGCACCTGCCTTTCCTTGCAGAACCTAGTTCAATTTTATTTTTATTTATTTATTTATTTGATTTTTATCCTGCCTATCTGGTCTGGTAGACAGCTCTGGGCGGCAAGCTCAAGCAAGCCCTGTTATTAATCTGGATTCTCTCTTGCAGTGATTGAGGATGGAGCCAATCAGGGCATAGCCAACCCATTCACCAGTAAGCTGCCTCCTGATTTGCAGGCCCTGAAAGAGCAGCAGGCACACTCACTTGCCCCTCACAGTGGTCAGTCCAAAATCTTAAGGCAAGCACGGCAGAAGATGGCACAGGCGGCTCAGAGGAAGGTAAAGGGCATGCAGATGTGACCCTGGCAGAGTTCCTTATGAGCTGCAGGGTGTAATCTGTTGCAGTCTTACCTGATCACCTGGTATTTGATCTTTATAGGGGAAATCCAAGGCTCCACTTAAGGAGGAAACAAAAAAGAGAGGCCAAGAAAACCTAAGTAAAGATCAACTTGCTCAGAAAGATCCCAGTGAAAGGAATGGGGCACATCTGGGAAGCAGAGAACAAAGAGTCCCTGTACTAGGAGAGAATGAAACGGAGTGGGAGCAAAAAGAACCATCCCCCACCCCTCGGTTAGTTTAAAGGGCCTGGATTTGGGGTAGAAAAACTATGTCATTGTATAGCTTAGCTTCAGCTTCTCATCCATCTTCATGGACAGAGAGAACAGGATTACGCATGATTATGAAAAGGACTTTCCAGAGGTGCGACGAGAAAGTGGCAGAGCAGAGGCCCGAGGCAGACCGAGCCTTGATTCTGTTGATCTAGAGATTGAAGTAAGCACATGACTGCTAGGCATTTTGTTCTCGGCTTTCGGATAATTGTGGGATCATCTTCATTGATTCATGCTTACTTCGTAGGAAGTGGATAGTGATGAGGAGTGGCAGCACCTGATACGGGCCACCAGTCCTGCACACGGACAGCTATGCGCCCCACGAAGTCTCATGAGAGACCCTGCCTTTGTGCAGCGCATCCATGCTCGGCTCAAAGATTCTGGGCAGCAGGTGAGTTGCAGGAGAGACCTTAGGACTCACACGGGGTATAGGCTGTAGGCTAGAGCTTCAGGAAACAAAGTAGGTAACTTACAAAGAAAAGAAAAGGTATACAGTGGTGCCTCGCTTACTGAGTGCCCCGTTTAATGAAGAATCTGCATAGCGATTTGTTTTTTAATGGCAAAAAATCGCTTTGCGACGATCGGTAAGCTGTTTCGCTTACCGATTTTCGCATAGCGATGTTTTAAAAACAGCTGATCGGCGGTTCCAAAATGGCTGCTGGGAAAAAAGGCCGCCCGCCGTCTTTTCGCGCCCATTCCTTGCATACTGGGTAGCGAAAATGGCGGCCGTATGGAGGATTTTCGCATAATGGTGAGTTTTAAGCCCATAGGAACGCATTAAACGGGGTTTAATGCATTCCTATGGGCTTTTTCTTTTCGCATAGCGATGAATCCGGATAGCAACGATTTTTCTGGAACCGATTATCGTCGCTATGCGGGGCACCACTGTATTTGCAAAAGCATCCTAAGGGTTCCTTGGCAGTTTCGGCCATTGCGATAGTAGGTGGAATCCTATTACATATTCTTGCTGGTGTTAATTCTATCATTGTAAGTTTCAGGGACAAGCTGCTGCAGTCACTCAGCAAGTCACAGAACTTGCATGCCAGAGCAGATATCTATGCCAACTTTTCAATTCTTCCTTAATTGATAGTTCAGCATATATTGACGATGTGAATTGAATTACACCAATGAGTGTAACTAATAGGATTCTGGACAATATTTTTAGGAGTATGATGAACTTTAAATTTATAAACTGAGGGATATACTTGAAGGATGAAAGAAACACATAAAAATCGAGAGGCAGTAGAGGTGTTGTAGAGATATGGAGAGCCTAGAAGAGAACGTTTAAGAGTGTCGCATCTGAGGTAAACTTAGGGAGGCCATGTTGCACTGAGGTGCTATTGGAGACAGAGCAGTATTGGACTTGGTGAGACGTCTGCTGTTTTGAGAATACTTTAGGAATTGAGGAGATGGTATATGAGGGATGTTTTTACTTCCGACTAACCTCTAGGTCTTTATTGGCGAGAGCTACAAGTTGATGAACTCTTCTGCTTGTACAGGTCTTAGAGGGAATGCTTGAGGGGGCATCTCGTCTTCGCCCTGCCCTTCATGTCATTGGCAACTTGTTAAATACCCACTGCGACTCAGAGCTGCTGTACACTTTTTGCAGTGACATAGGACTATCCAGTTTTCTGATGCAGCTGGTGGGGAGCATTCTGGAAAGTACCAACATCAAGCAAGTAAGAGACTCTCTGGGGGGGCTAGCTTGAAGAGCCAAAACGTCTACGTTGGTTTGCCTGTGTCTAGTTCCTCTTGTGTGACTGTAATCCAAAATGAGAAAGTTGTAATCTCTGTATTACGAAGAAAGAAAATGTTCTTTGTGTATGTAATACATTTAATTTGCACAACATTTATGGTATTTATTTTATTTGTTGCATTTATACTCTGCTGCTCCATCCGTGAGCTCAAGGTAGCCTATATGGCTCCCCTGTGCTTCTTTACAACCACCCTCTGAGGTGGATCAAGCCCACAGAGGGAATGGCCCACCCAAGCTCCTTCAATGAATTTTACAGTTGAGTGGGGACTTGAAGCTGGATTTTAACAGTCTTAACTGTTAACACCATACTGGTTCTGTCATGTTGTTCCATGCTGTCAAATCAGTTGCCAAAATCCTGCCTGAATACAAAGATTGTTGGATCCAGGGGAAGGACATTGGGGAGATAGGGAGTTCCATAGTCTGGGAGCTGCTATTCAAAAGACTGTCTTTCACCAAATTGCCCATGAAGGGGACAGTACCAATAGAAGGCTTGTTCGACAAATCCCAAATGTTCAGACATGTTTGACAGAATATGGTCTTTCAGGTGCCATTTCAGATATACATATGTGGACAGCTATCAGAGCTTTAAATATCAATTTATCATTAAAGATGAATTTGTTTGAATGTCAAATTCTTTAATTCTAGATCTAGTGCTGCCTGAATAATTTTTTATCAATTCTAATCATCTGTACAAAATCTAAACCTGACATAGAATTCAGCTGTTTTCACTCAAAGATTCGTTAGTTATCTCTTCTCGTCTTTAAAGACGGTGGTTATTGAACATTTTCTTGAAATTTTCTTTCTATGGAGCTGCCCGTTTGTTGAAATTCAGTCTCAGAGAACCCCAGAACCCCTTTCTCTTTCTCTTTCTGCCCCACAGCAGCCATGGCACACCACACTGCTGGCAGACCTGATTGCAGTGACATCAGCCTTTTTTGCTAGTGATTTCAACCAAGAGGAGGATGGAAAGAAGCAAAGGTAAGAAGCAGACAGGGAACGATGCTAGTATGTTGTGTTCGTAGTAATCTGAAGGCAAGCAAAACGAAGGCAAAAAATCCATGGAGATGGTCAAGGTACCAGCTGGAAGCTTTTCTTTGGCTTATGCCTTTTGCCGTCATTAAGTTTTAGAACTCAGCATGGCAAATAACGTTCCTGGCATTATGCCAGGGCTCAGCTGGTTAGAGGATGGGGGAATTCTGAGTGCCTCTCTTGCTCTACTTACTGAGCTCCTATATCTAACTCAGTCTTTGCCAACATGCTGCCCTCAAGATATAGTGGAATATGACTATACATCATGAGATACGGAGAATGCCAAGTTAGGGAGGACTGCTTTAGTACATAAGCATGAATGCTTGTCTAGCTTGCAGACGTTCCAGAGCACGGCCAGTCGCTTCCTAGCCTTGTTGCCTGCACTGCTTGCCCAGCCCTCAGATGTGGAGAACAGGCTGCGAGAACAAAGCCTGATGGTAAGAGCCTGTTACTGATCTGCCTTCTGATCTACTCAGGTGCCTCTTGACACAAGCATTCTTCAGCATCATCTTCCTTGAGCTTTGTCTCCAGGATGCTGGTCTACATGCTTGTGCAAATGCTGCCTATATTTCACATCAAGGTTTCCCTCTGCTAAGAGATGTGGCCTCAGGACAGGGATGGGTTCCATATTTCTGATCCCTGCAGCTGTTCCTTACTAAATTGTGCCACTTCAGGTGGCAGGGGTGTTCAACCGGTTTAGTCCAAAGAGCAATGCAAGAGTTTGGCCAGATGGTGTGCACCCATATGTATGTGCACACAAACCTTCAGATGCATGGCCCTCCATTTCTGCTGGGGATGCCAGAGAGGAAAGCCTGCATCCTCAAACAGACTTGAGGAAGTGGGTTAGAGACATTTGTACCTCCACCCCCCTCTCTTTGCACCTATCTCAGTGGAGACCAGTTTTGCAGGTGGCTTCAGTAGAGAAAGAGAGAGAGAGCTTCTCTCACCAGAAAGCAAACTGGAAATGATTACACATGGTTCCCTGGAATCACAATCACTCAGGAGTCAAATAGGCTTCTATTTGGAAAAGAACTTTTATCATAAGGAAAAATATCAGTGTAGGTGGGTTTAAAGCTCAGAAAACATTTGTTGTTTTTATGTGAAGAGTGGAGAGCCTAGAGATATGAGGGAAGGATTTGGGATCTTGGAGTGTGAATTTGATTTCTAGCTTGTAAATTACCCTGATGTCTGTCTTCTGTGTCCTCTAAACCCTTCTTTCCTTCTTTCCAGTGTTTCACTCATTTGTGTGAGAGCATGGACAATGTCTGCTCTTCTGTGTCCATCCCCTTTTACTCCAGCTTGTGTGTCGATCATTGCCCTCTGCTGGATGCATTCTGCCTTGGTGCCAGCTGTGATCAGCCAGCTCAGGAAGGTAAGCGAGTGTCTATGTGGAAGGTGCTCAACCCCCCCCCCCCCAATGATGTTGAAGATGATGTAAAGTACTCATCAAAGTCTGCACAAACAAAATGCTTCCATTTGTGGTTGTGGTTGTTTGGAGCCATGGTGTTTCCCCTTACGCCTTCATTTTATCACCTTCTCTCTTTAAATGGCCACTGTATGATCCCAGCTACCGTAGTCAAAGGTTGAAGTTGTATTGTACTTGCTAAAGGGGACAGACAAGTGCTTCCCTAGGATCTTGCTTTAGGAAGAGAGGAGGAAGAATAGGAATCAGGGCCATCCTCTGATAGTTTAAAAGTTAGGGGTCACCATCATTCTGTATTTCAGACTAAGGCTAAGGTCTGAGTCATATATATTACACTGTCTTGGAGCATTTGCAGCAATATTGTCTCTTTGCCTCTGCAGGCATCTCAGGGATTGTTAGAGGACAACATTTTGTTAGAGAACCTCACGTGAAACTCTTTTTGAACCCTCTATGAGATTTAGGCAGGATTTGTCTTGACTTTTAAGTATTTTCATAGTCAAGGTATAGATCACAGACACATTTCCCTCTCTTGGCAACTGATTGTGTTTGATCTTTGTTGGTGTGGTTTTTACTTCCCCTCTTGTAACAGTACTCCAGAAAGAAGCACGATCAGCACAGGAGTGGAGTGAACGTTTGGTATCTGCCTTTACAGCAGCCCTAGCTGCCGCCTGTGCCATCCCAAGAGGGCATTCCACTTGTCACAAGACAAAAAAGCAGGTGGGACTTTTTTTGCCTTCATGCTTCTAAGCAACGAGAACCCCCTCAACTGGTGGGCAACTTGTAGTGGTGTTAGCCCATATTGGGCCAAACTCCAGAACTTAGTTGTTTGGCATCCAAGAAGGGATTTCATATAAAAATCCATCTGATACGATGAGAAACCAAAAAGAGTAATCATACTGCAAGCAGCACTACTCAAACATAATAATGTGCCGTCAAGTCAAATGTGACCAGTGGTGACCCTTTTTTAAAGGGTTTTCCAGAAGTGGTTTATCATTCCCTTCTTCTGGGGCCACACTGAGACTATACAGCTTGCCCAAGGTCACACAGGCTGACTCTTCTCCCAGGAGCCACAGTGGAGAATTAAACTTTCAACCTCTGGCTCTGCAGCCAAATACCTAAACCACAGCTATCCAATAAGCATAACTTCTTTAATTTAAATGATCAAGATATTGATATAAGAAGAGATTGCTGTTTTTCCCCAGCTCTCTGGACAATTGGAATCTGAATGTGAGGATAACCTTGGACTGAAAGTCTTCTGGGTTTTTCTTACAGATCTCCCAGCGAGTAGCTGAGAAGCTCACTGAGAAGGATAATCAGCTCCTGATGGGTTTTCTCTTAAGAATTGAGCATCCAGCCTCTTTTCTGAATGGGTTCAAGGTAACACTTCTCCTGGAATTCCTTTTTTCTCTATAAGGAGTGGAAGAAGAGATGTCCAGGTTACCTTACCCTTTGATGAAACATGTTTTAAGGTGTTCTGTCTTCTCTTTTGGCTGGAAAAGGAAGACATAATAGTCTAGTAATAATGTTTGTTATATTTCCACTGCCTAGGTCCTGTATGCCTGTTGCCATGTCAGTCAGACCCTGTGCCGTTGCTTAGCAGCACCAGAAGTGTTCCGTTCCCTGATCTGTCATTTACAGGGCAAGGTATTTATTGTTACAGTGTAAAGAGAGCTTTCTAGTCACAGAGGTACTGGTTCCACTATATCCATAGCAGGGAAGAGGACAGAGTTTAGGACCATAGGAAGCCACCTTATACTGCTTCTGCCCATCCTGTCCAGTATTACCTGTTCTCATAGGCAGTGACTTTTCTGACCTGTTGCCTGGTCTTTTAAATGGTGACATCAAGGAATGTCAGGATCTGGGAGTTCATGAATGGGGAGCTAGAGATGAGATTAAGGTGAATTGAGGATGGAGGAGAGAAGAGAAGGAGTAGAAGTTGACAAGAAAAGTTACTGGCTTGTTCCATGGTCTTTCTAGTAAAACATGGTGGGAGGAAATCCAGGCAGCCTCCACCTGGACTGGAGAGGGGGGACTGAAAGCTGATGGCTTGGGAGGGAGAGTGTTTTGGTGCTCAGCATCATCTCTTCCAAAGGTTCCGCTAGCTGCAGTGGCACAAGTGCAGGCTACCGAGGCCACATTGAGACTCCTCTCCCTGCTGCTGCTCCAGCTCCAACTTCTCCCACCACAGTAAGTATCATAGCAGGACTTTTCATTTTCTTGTTTACCAGGAGAAGTCGGGCTGGGGCTTCGTACTTGGTACAAAGTGAGATGCCTTCCAGTAAGGCCAGGTTATGGTCTTCTGAGGAAGCCTTTGGCAAAAAAAGGTCCTGATCTCAATATTTCTGGAAGACTCTCTCTGTTTCTCTCTCTCTCACACACACACACTGCTATCCCTTGCTTAGCGTCTTTAAACTGAGGCTCAAGATGTAAGTGTTGTTGCTGGATGTTTCTCTGCTTATTATGCTTTGAGCATGCTAGCCATCTGAAACACTATTTTTCAAGTGGAAATGCAGGATTAATATCTAAGAACTATAATAGATAATTAGTATGTTTGAAAAGCCTTATAGTTGGTGGATAGGGAAGCATGGTGGGGTTGTGTACACCGGAGAAGTGTCCTGTCATTTTAATCTCATACGTATCAGGAAATAATGTGTAGCTTGAGCTAAGAGACCCTAAAGACAAGGGGGGCTCAATTGGAGGAGGGGCCAGGAGTTGGAATCCCCACTGCGCCACTCAGGAAAGAGGCTAGTCAAGCTCACCTGAAGCACGTATGAGTGATGGGATTATGAGCCCTGTCAGCTTTGTGGCCTTGGGTGAGGTGCATGGTCTCCAAGCCACACAGAAGGAGGGATGGGCAAACTCCTCCTAAATATCTTGCCCCTAGAAAACTCTGCCAGGGCTAGCACAAGTATAGAATTAGGAATTCTAAATTACTGGCCCTCTGAAGTCGCTCACCACTCAGACCTGGTGTAATAGACCACACACAGAAGGAGGGATGGGCAAACTCCTCCTAAATATCTTGCCCCTAGAAAACTGCCAGGCCTGGCACAAGTATAGAATTAGGAATTCTAAATTACTGGCCCTCTGAAGTCGCTCACCACTCAGACCTGGTGTTCTACTTTAGCTCATCAAACCAGGAGGGATGGGCAAACTCCTCCTAAATATCTTGCCCCTAGAAAACTGCCAGGCCTGGCACAAGTATAGAATTAGGAATTCTAAATTACTGGCCTTCTGAAGTCGCTCTCCACTCAGACAGGGCTGGTCCTGGTGTTCTACTTTAGCTCATCAAACCACTTCTTGACTGAAGCATGCTCTCTTTTGATGCTCTTATCCAAACACTGCCTTGCCTCTGGCCAGGGAGAAGTCCAACTTTATGTGAGCCCTGCTACCCCATTTCAGTCTCTGCTGAATGTAGGATCTGACTTCTTTGTTGCAACAGAGACAACTGCTGACTTCCTTTCCTGGGATGGCAGTGGCTTAGGAGAACTGGCACAGTCTGCTAACTGGAGGGAACAAGAATGTGAGAGCCTTGATACGACTTGTCCCATTCTTCTGAAGCTGTTGCTTTTTGCTTGTTTTAGATCTGACATTGTGCTGAAAGAGACTCTGGAGCTTTTTAATACTGCAACAACTGCCTCTGTTCTAGTGAGTGTTACTTTGCCAACATACTCTGTGGTACAGTTTGGAATTCACAGTCTAAATTTCTTGTACTTCATTGATTTGATCTGACTGCTATGAGATCCACCTTGGGCATTGTACTGAAAAGGGAAACTGACCAATGTCAAATCTGGATTCTGAGTAACTTCAAGGAAGGGTCAGATTGTCTTTCCACAACCAGTTGAGTGTATTACAGGCAGCATCTGAGGGACTGTGAAAAAGAGAACAAGTGCATATCTGATATGCTAGAACTGCAAAAAATGTAATTGTCTAATTGGTACATCAGACCAGCAACATCACAGTGGATTCCTGTAACCTGTGAAGGAGAAAGTCTAGCCATTGCTTTGGCGAATCTAGTAACCAGATCCACATCCAATGCAAGTCAGAGTGCACTCTTGTTGTTCCTGTAACCTGAACCGTAGAAACAACTTTCTAAATAATAGGATGTCCTTTTTGTGCAGAGTGCTGCAGGACTGCTTCTGGCATACTTCATCCAGTACGGCGCTGCTGTGGAACTCAGGCGGGAGGAAGCCTTGGCAACCATAGGCACTGCATTCACAGAGCCTGCAGAGGTAAGAGACCTTCTACAGAATTTGAAACAAATCAGGAGGCAGGAGGTGTCTCTGGCTGTATTATGCCAGACAAGAGGCTGACTCTGAGCTGATTCCTGGCACTAGTTTAGATCTAACCTTTCTCTTACATCTTTCAGCTCTGCCTTCTACCCCCTCGGGGAGCTGGCTTCTACGATGGCCTCCTGCTGTTGCTGCTGCAGCTGCTAAGTCAGGTTTGAGCTTTCTTCCATATCCCCCAACAAAAAGCAAAAGCAAACAAATCGTGCTGCTTATATACCGCCCCATAGTGCTTCAAGCTCTCTCTGGGCGGTTTACAAATTAATTATCCAGGCTACACATTGCCTCCCCAGCAAGCTGGGTACTCATTTTACCGACCTCGGAAGGATAGAAGGCTGAGTCAACCTTGAGCCGCTACCTGGGATTGAACCCCAGGTTGTGAGCAGTTTTGGATGCAGTACAGCGGTTTAACCACTGCGCCACAAGGCTCTTTATAACTGTTTATAACAAGGCTCAAATAACTGTTTTGCATTCCTGAGATTGAGTACACAGATGATCTATGAAATAAGTTTGGGAATGTCTTTGCTGCCAGGTAGGAAGGATGGGGCAGGACAAAAATGGGCTGTATCATTTCCCTGCTGCACTGTACCCACCTTGTAGTTGGTGGTCATGGAGAGCAGGCTCTCATCCAAGCTGAACTATCCCTGTTCATAGATTCTTTAGAAACAGAGTTGTCTACAACTAGAAAGGCAGCTACCTCACAGGGGATGAGCAGGGTCTAAAAATGGATACAAAATTTTCTTCCTGCTATCATGATTATATAGATAAGTGCTATAAGTTTCAAGCTAAATTTCTGGTGGCATGGCTGGTTTTTTTCCCCTACAGAATTGTAAGTCTTGAGGGTGTAATGTCACTTGAGTAGTGAAATGCAAAGTTTGTATAAAGGAATCCCAGCTAGATTTCTTTTCTGGTTTATAGCCATCTATGTATTAATACACAGTGTTTTCTCAGGAGTTGTCTGGATTAGAAGTGGACATCAAGAGCATGGGTGCCAAATCACTGGAAGGGCTTTTGGGCCTATTCTGATTAGTCTAAAGCCAGTCCCTCTTTTTCTGTCAGGGAGATGCAGCAGTGGTGCGAGACTTTGCTGCCTCAGAAACCTGGAGCATTGTGTGGCATCGATTTGCCATGGTGCTCCACTTGACCCGTCAAGGACCGGTGATGGAAGGCGAGACCCCAAGAGTTGGCCAGCATGCATCAAAACCAGACTGGAATCTCATCTCACCACAAGGTACAAAGATGGCTTCCCTTCTGTAGAACTTAGACTCTCCTAAGTAACTGCTGCTTTCTAGGACTCTCTTGCTGCTCTTCACACATCAGAAGACAGAGCTTGGGAGATTCCAGTCTGAGGCATTAGGTAAGCATGCCCACCATCTCTTTCTAGGATGCCAGGCTTGGGCACGGTAGTCACCAGATTGGGAAGGGCAAGGGGTGCATTAAGTGCATGCATGGCACAGAGATATTTGTTCTCTCTTTCTTCTCTGTAGGAACCCTGCTGTTCCTCAGTTTAGCCCTTTTTGTCTTCACCCGAGAACCGCACCAGTGCATTCTTCAGCTAGCCCAACCCAATGGAGTTGTCATGGCTACCTTGAACAAGCTGCTGGAACCTGACTTCCTGGAGTACTTGGCCCAGACGTGAGTAAAGGATGATTCAGATTTGAGCTGCAGAAGCAACAAAAGTGGGTGGGGTTTTGGTTTTTTAGAATGATCAGTATTGGTGTGGCATCCACCCTGGTCATGAATATTCATGTGCTATATGCATGGACCAATGAGAGTGCTGGAGAGGCGGAGTCCTGGGATGTAAGAGTCTCTGCAAGAGGAGTAGTAGATAGATTAGGAGATAAGAGTTTAGATAGAGAGACTGAGATTCTTAGATTTGAGGATTGGTGGTTTTGGAGTTTGGTTGGAGAGAGGGAGTTGGCGGTTGAGAGTGGATGAAGTAGGATGTTTTGTTAAGAGTTAAAGGCATTGACTGTACTTTCATCACCTGTAATAATAAACAACTTCTATTTGGTTCTTTTTAAAATGACACATGGCTTGGAACTCTATCTTTAATAATAAACAATGTTGAGGTAGTCAACTAGTGGCACTGACACGACATATAGCTTGTGGCCTTTGCTTGGTGAAACAACCATGGGACGGGCAGGAATGTGACAATTGGAAATATTTGAGCTATATGTGGGAGCATTAGACTTTTTTTAAAAAAAATTGCCTTTCATATTAAGAACAGAAATTTTGAGGATGTACACATTCCAATAAAGATTTTAAGATGCATAGCAGCTAGACTTCTTTAGGTACACTTTATTCCTTGTCCTTTCTCAATGCGTAGCAGCTAGACTTCTTCAGTACTCCAGCCTCATTAGGTACACTTTATTCCTTGTCCTTTCTCATCTCACTTCCTGCCTGTGTGTTTAGATTTCCAGATATTACAATCAAAATAAATGGTGCAAGTTAAACATATTTGTGCAAAGTTACACAGCTCACTATAGTTGAGTATAGCATTTGTTCTTCTAAGGCAAACCATAGGTAGTGTGTGTAAGAAAATATCTCCTGGTTCATGACATCCTTTGAAATCAGCATTTCTGTACTGAAGGTTAGGATGCAGCAAAAGGAAAAAAGGAGGCTGACTTATACCAAGTTGGGACAGAGGTCCCTCCAACTCAGAATGTCTGCTCCACCGCCTGCCAGTGGCTGTACGAGGATTTTAGCCTGGAGCCTTTCCAAATCCCATCTGAGGCTGTTGAGGGACCAAACTTGACACCTTTTGTATGCAAATAGATGCCATTTCAGTAGGCTGTCTTTTCAGACAACTGATCTTGTTACTGTATGCCAAGTGTCCTTCAGGCTAGACATTGCCAACTCCTGGAAAGGAATACCTGCTTCATTGGCTGCTTTCCCCCGTTCTCAGGCAGTTGCAAGAGGATGGTGATCGGGACCTGGTGCCAGCTGTTGTGCTCCAAGTCTGCCAGCTGTTCTGCTTCCCCTTTGGTCTGGAGGTGAATCCTGAAACTTTAGAAATGATCGTGACAAGCCTGAAGGATTCTGAGATCGCAGCCCAGTTACTCCAGGTAAAGTTTCTCTTCTTCTGCCGTACTCATTGAAGCAATTGAAATGTGATATGAGGGGGAAGGATTTTGCCTATTCCTTATTGCATAACTTGGCTGGTTGGTATTGCTCCATACAAGAAAAAACAAAACCAGAATGAATCCTGCTTCATGGTGGCTGTTTAGGAAGACGCATGCACTAAAAGAGCTTATTATCAAATGGTGTCTCTACAGGTTGTTGTGAATCTGGGAGAGGGAATCAAAAGCACTTTATAAAACCTGAAAGGGATGTTTACCCTTTATAGCAGTGTTGGACATATTTCAGTGGTCTTGAAGGCTAGCCCTGAACCTTGGAGGGATGTCCCTGTTCCTGTGCCATGTTCACCACAAAATACATTTTTTAAAATGAAACATTCCCCCTGAAAACCCAGGTACACAGCCTGGGAGGTACCCCTGGATTTGTGTCTTTTGCGTCTGGATGCCCAGGATTTGGCTGTGGTTAGCAGTGCATTTCCACAGTTGAAACTAGTGCGCCAGCTGTGCCCATTCCTGGAGAGGTCTGATTTGGCCATGCTGACACATGCCCTAGTTACATCCAGGCCTGGATTTCTGTAATGCACGGTACGTGGGGCTGCCTCTGCAAAGTGTCAGGAAATGTCAGCAAATCCAAAATGCAGCAGCCAGATTGCTAACTGGGACTGGCCACAGGAATCACTTAACCTCCCTGTGACAGCAGTTCCAGTGGCTGCCGATCCATTTCTGGGCACAATTCAAAGTAATGGCTCTTCTAATCTATGAAGTCCTAAACAGCTTGTGTCCAAGCTGTCTCGAAGACTATGTCTCCCATAATTATGAGTCTGCTCGAGTGTTAAGATCACCGGGAGAGGCTTTCCTCTTGGTCCTGTCACTTTCACTGGTGCGCTTGGTGGGGACACTGACCTTCTCTGTTGCTGCTCCCAGACTCTGGAACTCCTTCCCCACAGGAGGGTCGACTGGCCCCATCTTTACTGTTCTTTTGCAAGCAGACAAAGACTTTCGCCTTCAGCCAAGCTTTCACTCCATGACTGGCTACCTGACTGGGTTTTTTAAAATGGATTGTTGTACCTTATTGCATTGAATGTGTTTGGGTATTGCTTGTTTTTGGTATTGTATTCATTGATTCTTTTAGTATTGTATACTCATTGTTATTAACTTCAATACTGTTCTTTAATTGTTGTAAGCCACCTTGGGTCCTTTTTAGGGAGAAAGGCGGGTTAAAAATATTTCAAATAAATGGTTTTTTCTAACTGAAAAGGTGTCCTGTAGTGGAATTTAGAGGGAAAATGTAGAGAATGTTGGGAGGATGCAAAAGCAGGGATGCTAAGCTGAGCCAAGGCACGACACACTTGTAGGGAAAGTCCTCTTGTGCTCTTCAAGGAGTGTGGGGACTGGCAACATTTTGTGTACTTCTTTCTAGGTACCTTTTATAAAGAAAAAGATATACCCTGTTTCCACTGTTGGACTCACTGCTGTTTTCTTGTTCCATCTTAGGTCTGTGTTCACCATCTTCCCTTGTCAGAGACTGAGTTGCCACTGAGTCTGTTGTGCCGCTTGGTGCTGAGCCATGAAGACATCATTGAGCAGGTGGTGGGAGTGGCTAACTCAGAGCGTGCCACTGCTTTCCTGTCAACCATTTTGCTATCAGGCGAGGTTGCCCTTACTGCAGATCTGCTCTCTCTTCTCACCCACATAGCCCGGGTTAGTCCAGCTCACCTGCCTTTCCTGGAGAAGCTCCTGTGCAGCCCATCTTCAACCTCCCACCCACTGAGGCTGAGCCGCTTGCTGTGTCACCAAGATTGCTTGGTCCGTGCCAGAGCCTGCAGCCTGATAGGTAACCTGCTGCGCCATGGGCAGGAGGTTCCTCAGGTGTTGGAAGGGCAGGCTGGACTGCTGGAATGCCTGCTGGAGCGTCTTGCAGATGATGATGGACATGTTCGCTGCTCAGCCAGTTTTGCTGTTGGCAATGCAGCCTACCAGGCTGGCCCTTTTATGCAGACCCTTGGCAAAGCTGTGCCCTGGGTGGTTCATCTCCTGGGAGATCCTCAGGCCAAGACTCGTTGCAATGCAGCTTCAACGCTGGGTAACTTGGGTAAGCATTCTGTGGAACTGGGGGACCTGCTGATCAAGAGCAGAGCACCTGATCGTCTGTTGGAAGTGGCCTGTCACGATTGCCATCCAGATGTGCAAAAGGCAGCACTTATTGCCCTTCGCTCTATTGGCCAGCAGCCCAAGATTAATCAGGTACCAATTCAGCAGTGGAGGTGGTGGTGGTGGGAATACAATGGACTGTGTTGTACTGGGCTTCAGTGAATACACCGGAGTTCATAGTGGAAGGTTCATTGCCAGGCAGTGGCAGTTTTGAGGGACAGTGAAGTACAAGGGCCAACAGAGGTTCTGCCTGATGTTCAAGTATTGGAATCAGCTTGCTGATTAGAGCCGAAAGGAAAATGCCCTTGCCAGATCTCTCTTGGGTGAGAAAAAAAAGTTTTGGAAATTGCTGTTGCAGTGCAGTTGCTGGTACCAGGTACTGGTGAGATAAGAGAGGCTGGCGGATGTTTCATTCCTGTCCTGTGAAACAGCATGTTGGAGCTAGCCAAACTGGGACAACAGAATCTACTTCTTATCTTAGCAAAAAAAAAAAGGCATTGATGGGCCTGCACCCAGAGCTTGGAAAGTCGCTTTTAGAAAGTAATTGAAGTTGTAGTCCCTCAAACGTAAGGTAATTTTTAATTGCTTTTTTTGGTTTCTCAAAAGTAACCAGAAGTTACTTTTAGTTACCTTTTTGTAAAAATAAATACTTTTGAATGCTATAGGATATTGATCTGGTACAAAATATGCTTTCTATCTAATTTATTGTTGCTTCAGAACACATAATGGAGCATGAGGCTGTCTATGAAGCTGCGATTATCCTCCTGTACCATTCAGTGAGCCCTAGCCCCAATTATAAAACTAACTTGATTTTAGTAATGCTGCAACCCTCCCCCCCAATTATTATTAACTAGTTCTATGTTCATTATCAGAAAATGGACTTAATTTGAAGTAATAAGATATTTGTGACTGGTTACTTCCAAGCTTTGCCTATATCCTATTCTTTCTGGAAGAGTTATACATAAATGTGCTCCAAACCATCCCACTATCAGAATGTGACATCTCTTGTGTAAGAAGCAATTTTTGTATGTTTTGAACATCCCTTTGCTCATTTTATTACAATTAACAGCTTCTTGTTCAATTTGCATTTTTACTAATTCAAGGTTTGCATATTAGAGGGCCTTTTTGGGTAAGCTCGGAAGTCCTTTCTGTTTCAGTGAAAAACACACTTGTTCCCTCCCCCACTCAAATGGCATAGGAATTAAGGCCATTTATTACTTAATAAATCCATCAACCATTTGCTGCTCTTTCATGAAATCCCAAATCAGCTGCTTCACCCTGCCTAATGGTAGGCTGTTCTTAGCAATACAGTGGTGCCTCATAGGACGATTGCCTCGCAGGATGAAAAACCCGCAAGACTGACGAAAAACCCGCAAGACGATTTCTTCTATGACCATGCTTTGCAAGAATTTTTTTCCAAGATCGATGCCTCGCAAGATGAATAAATTTCATTCATCTTGCAAGGTTCCCATAGGGAACCTCACAAGATGATTTTTTCGCAAGAGAGTGATTCTCGCGGAACGAATTACAATCGTCTTCGATTCTCGCGGAACGAATTACAATCGTCTTGCGAGGCACCGCTGTATTGCAGTCTGTCTCTATCTGACATTCAAGACACACTCCAGCTTTAGTTAAAAGTACTTGGCTTGTTTTTTATATTTGCCCATATGATGATAATCTTAACTAGAAGTTCTTTAGGGGGATCTGACTTTATGGGAATATAGCACACAGCACTTACTGCAATCTCTTTCCTAGATACTGGTGTCACTCAAAGCAACTGAAAAGCTGGAAGCACTTTCCTGTAAAGACTCTCAGATTACTACCTATAGCAGCCTCAGGCCCTCCTCAACAAAACACTGCAAGAAATTGATCCACCTTCTGCAGCCTGCCTACACTGCCTGAGAAGAGGCATGCATGCTTGGACTTCATTCTTCCCAAAACCTCAGTCTTGGAGAACCATGGAGTGGAAAATGCTACTGCATCTACTTTATGGGGCTAACTTTGTGTACTGAATGTGAGGGTGCTAGTTTTTCTAAGGAAAGTTATCAGATTTCTCTGTGTTTTTATAGCCTCTGAGCAGAGAATGTGCTCCATTCACCTGTTCAGTGAGATGCCTTATCCAGCCGACTGCACCAGTTGTTAAGCAAGGACAACGCACTACCTTTTTTTTGCATAGAACATCGTATTTTTACACACATAGTACACTAGCTATCAAGTGCCTTGGAACATTGTTTCTTCAGGCATGGGTCTTCAGAGACTGTAATCTTTTCCCCTAGAAAATGGAGAGTGATGAGCAACCATCTAAGCTCAAAAGAAAAAAAGAGAAGGCAACGGCAATATGGGTAGAAGTTAGAGGATTCTTTTTAAACCAGATAGGAACAGCCTCCCTCTGCATTCACTGACGAGCTTTAATACATTATATTCATTCTTTGTACACTGAGGGTATCTATTTCTTATTTTATTGGCAGAAATCCAGTAATAAGTTGCAACTAGAGTAGGTCCGGTGAATTAATGGGAATTCTGTGACTCAACTCTTCTGTACATGTCATTGATACAGTGGGCTTACTAAGGCCTCACTGCTGGATTTCAGTCATTGACAACTTTGCTAGGATTTAATATTATGCCTTCATATTAAAACCAAATTTTTCTTATGACATGTTCTTGCCTGTGTACCACAGAGGAAGATGATGAAGATATTTCATTTTTCTAGATATAAAATGTACGGAACCTTTCTACGTGACCTATTTAGCTTTAAGGGTTTATTATAAAATTGACTGTGTGTTACTAGTGGTGCCTCGACGAACTCCGGTCGTAACTCAAAGCGCCATTTCCCATAGGAATGCGTTGAAATGCAATTAATCTGTTCCAGCCGAAGAAAAAAATCACCAAAAACCCCACCACCACTGCAAGACCCATCGGAAACGTGATTAATCTGTTGCGGCCGAAGGGAAAAAAGAAAAGCAAACAAACCGTGCAAGACCCATCAAAAATGCAAAAAAAGCAAAGCAGAAAGCAAACAAACCATGCAAGACTCTT